CACACACACACACACACACACACACACACACACACACACTCACACTCTCCCCCCGTCTGCCTCCCTTCACCTCCTCCCCTGACACATTTCTAAAGTTAATCTTTCCTACTTTTGATGTGTTGAAGATCGATTGTGCCCCTTAAACCCTTTTTTAAGGCTTGCCCAGACTGCTGTGAATAAGCCTCTCATCTGCTCCAGAGTAGCTCTACGCTCAGCACACACACACACACACACACACACACACACACGCACACATTGGGATGGGATGTATTTTAGTCAACCAAAACCCAGAATTTTGTTGAATTTTGTTGCTAAACATGCAATTTTGCAGCTCTATAAATTCCTCCAAAATAAAAAAAGATACACTCTCCAATAGCTTAACTTCCAATCAATTAATTTAAATGTATTGCTAAGTTGGCATAACGTAGACTCTTCTAGTCAGTGCACAGCAGGTCAGCTGAACCTGCAACATATAAAGAACTAGAAGTTGACACAGGAGGCGTTTCAACTGCGTTTTCATAATTTGTGAGTGTACATTTGCTGTAAATTTGCTGCCTATGGTCCACTTCTGTTTTAACCAACTGTTTTATCTTCTTACTGTTACCGTTGTCTTTATTTAAAGCTATTTATTCAAGACTCAGTATTTCTTCCCATCTCGCCCGCCTCTCCTCTGTTTGTCCAGCTCCTCCAGGGCCTCTAGTTCATCGCTGTGTGGAGTGCAACCTCGAGCGAGGCCTGACATTTTGCCGTGCTGCGAGGGGGGAGAGGGGGGGTGCAGAGGTGAAGTGACTAGACGGTAACGTGGAGGAAGATAGCGCAGCAGCGGAGAACTCCACTGCATTACTAATGAGAGCTCTTTGACCCAACGTACCTGCTCCAACAAAAGTTTGGGCTGAAACCGTATCCCTGCTGGAGTTTGAGTTTAATTTCAAATAGACTTTTCATTTGGCTCCGAGTGCTGACTTCCCGAAATTGACAAATTCGTTGTTTGCAAGCTGGTGTTATCTTTCTGTTGGAATGGTAGATTTCCCCACGGAGCCCGGCTCTTCACAGTCCAAGAGGCTTCAGAGGAAGCCGGAGCAAAGCTGCCGTGTTTGTCACTCTTTCATTTCTTTCCAGTCGCTCCCAGAGCTAAAATCTGCACACTGCACGTCAACAAATAGTGTCTTTAATAAGTAACAATGGCTTTAAGAATATCAGCTTCACAATGGAAATGTGACATACATGTCATGTGTATGGTTTTTACAATATAATCTTCCGTCCAGCTTAAAGATACCGGGATACTTTGCCCCTTTTTTGTTTGCTCTCCCTATTTCTACATGTTATAACGTGGTTGCCACTGATGGCAACGTAAGGCCAAGAATTTGTTGCCAGAGTCACAAAGTGGTTGCAACCTGGCAACCCAACCTGGCAACCCTGCACTGTGGAGCCCTGCAAACAGATGGATTCGACGAGTTAATGTGGAATTTACCGTCTCACTCTGTGCGTGTGTGTCTTGGTTAAATGCACTCAGGAGCAGCCTGTAAACAAATGCCTATCATAGGATGGTGACCCGGGGACACAGTGGAATCTTCCTGCTCACTAAACTGGTGACTCAGTAGCGTGTGTGTGTGTGTGTGTGTGTGTGTGTGTGTGTGTGTGTGTGTGTGTGTGTGTGYGYGCGCGCGCGCRYGYGCKYGCATGTGCTTGCATGCATACAGCATAGAACCATTGCACCATCCCTTTGGTCTCGGTAACAGTTTGCTCAGCAACACTTCCCATATAGTTTATTTCCGTCTGAGTTTGATCTATGTATATACCACATGTGTGTACGAGTGTGTGTGTGTGTGTGTGTGTGCGTGTGTGCGTCTCTTGCACACTTGGGCACGGTGCCGTCTTACCTCACCCTTCTGACGCTAAGCAGCTTTAGCTTGATCACCATCTGTTCAACCATTCATTGCACAAAGACTGCCTCACACTCCTCATGCACACACACACACACACACACACACACTTGAGCAGCACTGCTTGTGTTCAAACCCAGGCCAGACGGTGTTGCGCCGTCTGCTGCAGCCGGGGGTGATGTTTTGTGTGGCTGTGAAACGGGTGCTTTCACATCACCACTGAGGTTTGGCTGAGTGTGATTTGCTGTGGGATGGGTAATTCACAGAAGGCTGCAGGGTGTGTGTGTGTGTGTGTGTGTGTGTGTGTGTGTGTGTGTGTGTGTGTGTGTGATGGATGGTTGCTGGTTGCTGTCTCTCTCCGCTAGTTAAAGGCTGCTCCGCTGGTGAACCCAGCTAATTGTTGAGTTTCCCAGTTCACCCGGTGGACAGGGAAGTATGAAAGAGATGAAGCATCTTTATCTTCATCCTCTCCACTTCACAGGCCCTGAGAAACCACACCAACAACAGTGTTATCTGGGTCATCTTTATTTTATTATCTAATTATATTCAACATTCTCAAATCCCATCCCTGCTCCTAAAAGAAATACAGATAAATGCATACAGTTAATCATAATTAGATAGAATACATGAGTGGAGACGAGTGGAGGTCACAGTCAAAGATGTATCGCTGCACAATACATAGTTTCTTCATCTAACGTTGTATTGTGTTCAGTCTGATACGCACTGTGCTGTCAACTCTGGTCAATCAGATAGAGCCCTCGCTGTTAGACACAGTCCAACAATAAGGTTTGCCCGATGGCCCGGGGCCAGTAAGAAGTTGCCAGTACTTATGATCAGCCAGTTGCCCGATCAGGCCAGTACTCTAATCTAATCTACTGTACTGTACTCTACTGTACTGTACTGTACTGTGCTCTGAAGCCTCTCTCCGCTCTGCCTTCGCGGCGCTCTCTACTCGTAACAAAGGCTCAGGTAGTCATTAATGAAGTGGTGATGAGTTGGAACACAAAAGAGCATTTATTGGAGTGTTACAGGAGATGCTCAGGTCTTTTTTGGGGGTTATAGCTCAGAGACAAACAGAGAGACTTAATGTATCTACGTGCACACATCATCGTCATCATGCATGTGCGTGCAATAGTCCACAGTTATCTTCCTCCGGTCATACTTTCATCTGGGTCATCTTGATTCATGTGAGCTGGAGTTAGAAAGAGTGTCACCAAGGTAACAGACAGCAGAACTGTCTGGGTGTCGATTATTTCACCACGTTTGTCTATCGAGTATCAATGTGTGGCCTCGAATATCTGGCTGGAACTTTGGGTTACGATACCGTGTTAACATCTCTGTCTCTACAGTTTCACACTGAAGCACAGAGTTGGCACATGGAAAGAAACACGGTACATAACCGCTTTCTAACCTGGTTTCATCCTCTTTGAAATGGTAAACAATGACCTTGCTTTTTGCAGTTTCAAAGTCTTGTTTCAATATTTATCCCCTAACTCAGATATCAGATCTGTATTTATTATCAGCGACGCCCTGTATTAAAGACACACACACACATACACACACACACACATACTTTATGATTATGGCATGGCCTAATAATCCACATCATTAAACCTCATCATCAGCGTCCACAAATAACTTGATGACAGCTAAGCAGGCAGCTAAAGTGTGCTTTCCTACACATTAATCCGTCACATTGCAGCTCGTGCCCCGCTGACCTGTCGAGGGACTTTCCCTTGCCTTCCACCCAGTGCATGCTGGGATAGGTTTCAGGCATAAGCAGGTATAGAAAATAGATGTATTGGATTATGTGTTTGCTGCTGCCAGCAGGTTTTGCCAGAGTGTTTACACAAGATCTATTGCTTCATTTATCCGGCCCCCCCCTCCTCCTCCTCCTCCCTGCTGCTAAACCTCATCTTCCCAACACATGACACGCATTATTTAACGGTATGCACAGGTCAGCTCAAGCCCATTACCTCCAGTGTTGTGAGTCCGCCGGTCTGATGCCGCCGTACTGCAGTGTAACCCTGACCTGCCGGCTTGTTAATTCTGACCCGCAGCCCTTGAGTGGTGGACCTCTGTTTATCCCGTGGACTGAAATGAGATGATGCGCTCTCTCTCCACAGGAGGGATGATTCGATTTGTGAACCCGCCGACCTCAGCGTTGAGAACCAAAGTGCGGTCTCCTCTGCATGTGCTGATATGCTTCCACACACACACACACACACACACACACACACACACACACACACACACAGCCTCTGTGTTCTCCAGCCTCTCGGGTTAACATGTGAACGTGACTTTGAGTCGTAGTGCTGTGAGGGGAAGAGGGGAGGGGAGTACTTTGATTTACTTCAGGGATTATGCAATCATTCAAAATGATTTTATTGGCTTTTTGGTTTAATATCACAGTGATACAATCATTTCGTTATCAAACACTATTCAAAACTCGCAAAATGAGTCATTTAAGCATTTGTTCAACGCTTTAAACATCAATTAGATTGTTTGTTTTATGTGATTTTGGGGCATTTTGAGCTGCTGTGTGAGAGCAGACAGTAGAGCGATGACAACAGATGATACGGGAGCATCGGGGTTCACCCATTGTGATACTGATTTGCTTGAGCCTTCTTTCTCACTTAAAGCTGCTATAATCATCATATCTTTATATTAATAATGGATCAAACAGCTCTAGCTCACTGTTATGGTTTATATGACTCCCACCATTCCAACCCTCAGCTGCCTCCAGCAGTGAAGCTCTAACAGTCATCAGATGATCAGAAACGTTGCTCCGTATCCAAAGTCCACCGTGTTGACTGTAAAGCAGATCATGTGTGTTGTTGTTTTCTTCTTCCAGCTTCTTTCAGTTGTTGCAGGCTCACCGTAGGGGTTGGCAAGAACCCGTCTGACCAGCCACATGTTAAATGTTTTATTTCTCTCTCTGTGTGTTGTGAAGGGGTCCCTTCAGCGTGGTGCGGAGATGCATCAACAGAGAGACGGGGCAGCAGTTCGCTGTCAAAATCGTGGACGTGGCCCAGTTCACCTCCAGTCCTGGACTCAGCACGGAGGGTAAGGGATCACAAACCTCTCACTGTAACTCTGTACGTTATGCGTCTCTGTACTCGTAAATATAACTACAGGTAATTGCTTTTTACACACACTGTTGCACACTAAAAGTTAATGCAACGGAGAGGTCGGATGCTTGTCCTTGTTTACGAGTGTAAGTCCACACCGGCCTACTTCTCATTCACTCAGGTGCTCACAGCCACACTCGGGAGTTTCCTAGTTCAATGAAAAGTCTTCTTCTTTGGTCTTTGGGCTGTTTTCATTGAAGCGGTTCATTATGAAGCCATGGCGAGGGCACCTTGAGAGGTTTAGGAAAGAAGTGTACCGTCCCTCCACTGTTCAGTGATTAAACAGCAATATATTACATATATACTGTATATGTGTACACTTTACAAATCAAATGCTATGATGCTGAAACAGATGGAGTTTGTAGGATGTAACATATGTTATGTAGAGGACATATTTTAACTCTTACTCATACTTATTGGAACTTTATTACTAATTATTCAGACTATGCTGAGCATTATGCAGTAAGTATTCAAATATGCACAGACTATTAAGGTCATTAAAAGTCCAACTTAAGAAAAACAGACTTAACTGCTCAACTTCATGTTTTTGTTGCATTATCCAGAGTTTCATTAAACAGGTGTTGTTGCTAATCCAGAGCGAGGCTGCCGAGCATCGTCCAGACGAGTCAGAAGTCTCATCAGATATCTGCCGCTGGCTGAAGGCAGCGGAGGGAGGGAGGGATGGAGAGATTGAATTAAAGATATCTGGATTTTTTCGGGTGGGAGGCGATAACACATGAACTATTAGAGGAACGGAGAAGTCTGAATAGAGATTTGTAGGATTGCAGTTCTTCATTGGAGAACGAAGAACGCCGCCGGTCATTTGTGACGCAGGTTGACTGCTGTCCGTGTATCCAGCAGGTATTTTTAGAAAGCAATGAATGGACAACACTGAGCAGTTTAACCTAACCCTAACCTCTCACTGCGCTGTGTGGAGGGATTTGTTTTGTTAAATAGAACAATAGAAGGAGGCTTTACGGTACCGAAATTACATCAACTACACACAAAGCAAGAGAGAGAGAAGAAGAGAACCTCGTAATCTTTACGAGCGTCGGTCACCTTTCTAACCTGAGGTCTCTATTTACTTATACTTCAAGGAGTTTCCCTTTTATTGAACGAAAACAGCTACAAAATGTTTAATAATCTCATCAAATGTTATATTCTACTAATTATCAGTATTTGTACGTGTATTTTTGTCATGTGTTTGATAATTCCTGGTATTGGAATAGACTTCTAAACATCTGGTACCAGCACATCTGTAGATAATTGTTAGAGACGTTCATCACATTCATTCATTCAGCCTCACAGAGCCAGTGTGTATTCAGATGACCTTCCATCAAGCTCCATAAGCTCCATGTCGTGGTGATTGTGTTGATCTAGCGATGCACACATGCTATGAGTTCAAGGTAATTAATGTTTCTTAGAGGAGCTTTAGCTGCCACATTACGCAGTAGCCTTCTTTACCTTCTCTAATGCTCTCTCGCTGATGCAGAGAGCATAATCCAGCATGACAGGGCGTCTGCTCGGTTTGCTTAAGCTTCCACAAGGTGTAAATAAAGTGCTCAGCCATTCACACTCTGATCCCTCACAAAACACCAGTCCTCACACCGTCAAAGGGAGAATTATAAAGTCATGGCCACAGAAAATTGCAGCTTCTGTATATTGTGTATTTCATGTGGTGAGCAGAAACAGTCGCTTGTAATGAGTTTTGTCTTGAACTACTTCACTTTCCACCCAGACATGGGGCATGACTAATCTCTGAAACAATATGTGAAATACTTTAAAGTAAAGCACAGTGAACCTTGGATGTCAGAGGAAACTACATTATTGTAAACTCCTCCGCCTCTTAATTACAACTTTCAACCATCTATAATCCCCCAAATTGCCGGTCAGGTCCACACATGCTGGTGTCTTTGTGAGAACGGGTTAATTGCTGGACATCCATCTTCATTGTAGGCTCCCCGCGCTGAGCTGTCTTCTGTCCCGTTGGCTTGACTCATTCTCTGTCTTATATAGCGGCCTTCTGCCAGTAAGGGAGAGCAAGAAATCTTGTTTAAATGATTCCTCCTTAAAAACGGTATTTTGCCATCTCTCCTCTCATAAAAAGTAGTGCTGAAAAGCGGGTTTGACAAATGGCCGCGAACTCCTAAATGAATGTTTTTCATTGTAACTGTGCACCCGTAACATTTCTCTTCGTTGCCAGCATACATGTCTACACGTGTGAGTGTGTGTGTGTGTGTGTGTGTGTGTGTGTGTGTGTAGTATGGTTAGCACCCTCCCCAGTCATTTATATCCAATCACAGTCCGTCCTCTGCAGCTCTCAGGAATCCATCAAACCCTGCAGGTCTCCCCCCCCCCCTACTGACGCCAGGTGGCTGTTCTCATAGTTGATTTGTTTTTACTTTCCCCTCCTCCTTGTTGCCTTCAGAAAGCAGAGCAGTTTCACTTGAGCGGGCAGCTGTAACACAGCATCACAGTAATCAAGCAGGCACACACACACACGCGGACGCAGACACCCGGCACTGAGCTCAGACCAGGGGGAAGTGGGTCAAATGGTTCGTGTCTTGGCAGTGGATTGGCCAGACACAAAGACGCACACACACACACACACACACACACACACACACACACACACACACACAGCACCAGCTTGTTTCTCGTCACCCTGTCCGGAGGTCTGTCTGACGAATAGGTCAGCCCTCTTAGGGGATGAGAGAGAAAAGCCAGCCAGAGAATGAGCAAAATTCATCATGTGCCATCACCTACTCTCGTTCCTCCGCCTCTTTCATTCTCCCGCCTCCCTGATTCCTTCACTCTCTCTCCTCTTCTTCTGTGTTTCTACTTCCTCTCAAATCCCCCTCCTCCTTCATCGCTCCATCCCCGTCTTCCTCCAGCCGTAAAATACAAGCTACAGCCCTGTGTGTGTTTTTACCGTTTCTATTACTGTTGTGACATCTCGTCTGCTAAAGCCCTGTCAGGGTCTCGTACATACAGGAGCATCTCTCACACACACACACACACACACACACACACACACACACACATATACACACACACACACACACACACACACACACACACACAGCCAGCCCTGTGTGGTGTTGCTGTGGTAGCAGGGCCTCCTTCCACTGCTGGCTTTGACTCCCAGCAGCAGGAACATGGATCATTGTAGAGATCACATCTGTTTATCACCTCCTTTCTCTATCTTTTTCTCTTTCTCTTTCTCTTTCTCTCTCTCTCTCTCTTTCTCTTTCTCTCTCTCTCTCTCTCTTTCTCTTTCTCTCTCTCTCTCTCTCTCTTTCTCTTTCTCTTTCTCTCTCTCTCTCTCTCTCTCTCTCTCTCTCTCAAATGTCCAGTTGCTCTGCATGAACGCACTCACAGGAGAGCTCTGTCTATGATGAACGGTGGAATAAATAAACACGTATGCTCGGTATACAGGAGTCTTCTGTCGCCATGGACACTGATGGATTCCTCCGCTTACAGAGCTGTTGACTTATTTCATATCGTTGTTTCCATACAAATGCATAACATCCTCCAAACAACCAATGATACAAAACGGGTCCACTAGATGTGAAGTTGGTAACTAAATTACTCTTTTCTTTCTTTTAACACTACTTTTTGCCTAAACGCACAATAAAATGACGGCGACTATGTCTACATGCACAAAATATTCAGATTGTTGCTCTTATTCCGATAAACAAAACACAAACAGTCCTACTAAGCTGCTCACAAGGCAAATGCAAATTAATATTCCACTAATATTTCTGTTAACGTGCAGGAATGCATAGTCCGGTTCACGTAAAAATGTCCCCATGACGTATGTCCTCACCTGTCGATTTCCAAGTCTTTCATAATGTTTAAACGTAGGTGTGTTTCTTCTTTCGACCAGAAATGTGGGCTTTTTCTCTTGGGAATAAATCTCTACCCCCGCCTTACAAACTGCTGTGTACAGTACAGTGCACAGAGCTGACCGTAAACAGGAGGCCGCGTGTGTTTACATGTCCAAAAAATGCTCCTAATACAAGAATAATATCGACATATCCCACGTCTTATCAGGAAATGCTTCATTTCCAAAACGGTCTTATTCAGAAAGTCCAAAAAGGAATTGTCATCTTCAACATAATAGTGAGATATTAGAGTGCATGTCAACGTAGTAAATGTAAGGAAAGATATCTCTGTGCACATTTCAATGTGTCAGATCTGTACTTAATCAACATTTAGGTGAATATAAGTATTTGATTGAACAGATACGCAACATTAAGGGCCAAGAACAGCTTGATTGGAACATCAGTGATAGTCTTTTCCAGCAGTAATTCTGTCTGTGGATGTCAGCGCTTACTTTAACGTAATAGTTTTTAATGTAAAATCATTGATTGGTATTGGCCTGGACCTCAGGGAGAATCTTTTAGATTGGTTTTCCATTTTTGTATTTGTTAGTTTATATTGTCTACAGTCTAGGTTATTAGAGAAGCAACTGATATTACTTTAAGTTGTAGTTTAAGTTGTTGTACAACGTCTCGTTGCCTACTCTCTTCCTCCACTAGCTTTCTCTGTCATTGTTTTGGTAATTCCCTGTTGCTTACTCTACCCCCCCCCCCCCAACACACACACACACACTTAAAATCAATGAAAGTAGCTTCCCCGCTGCAGTTTTCTTCCTAGCTCAATAAAGTTGGTTTGCCTCCCATTTGATAAAGTATCTTTGGTAATCTCCGGCAGCGCTTGCCGTGACGGGCGTAAACAGTGAGCTCACTAGATGACATTAAATGTGGCACGCTGCTGTGCCCTTAAGGTAGCCACTTATCCGGCTTTAGCAGCATTAGCATCGTGTCAGAGCTAGCCCACGCCTCGTGCCTGTCCTCTGGAGGATTAGCTTAATGTTAGTGCTGAGGCTCGCTGCAGCACGAGTGGCTCATGGCTTCGACTGGGAGCTTAATTAAATGTCATTGCATACATCGAAGAACAATACAGTCAATGTTCATTATAGTTCACGTGTGTGTGTGTGTGTGTGTGTGTGTGTGTGTGTGTGTGTGTGTTACACTATCACATCTCAGTCCCATCTTTTCAGTGTTTCTGTCCATAAATCACCTCCAGCTGCAGCAGCAGCCGAGGGAATACCTCACTGTGGAGTGTGGGATATGCAGCTTCCATATGTATGAGTATACCGAGTGTGTATATTTTGGCACAGCGTGGCTATTTCCGGAGAGACGGATCATAAAGGTTGATACACTTAAGAGCGCTCGTTGGTGAATTTTCCTTAAATGAGATGAGAGTGAGCTCAGGCAGAAAGCTCCTGGATGTGATGTTTACTTCTCTGGTTGAAGGTCTAACAACAGACCCTCAAGGAGCTGCTTTGGGGAAAGTATGAATGGATGGATCAAAGGATTGAGAGATTGAATGGGAGGATGAAAGCGAGATGGATGGGACAGGCTATGTTTAGATGTTCATAGTGACGGCAAATCCCTTTTGTTTATCAAATCCAATCTGTAGGATTTACTCTCTGGACTGTTGGTGTAAAACCGGTCTGATTTGTGCTCCACATCCTCCATCTGTTGCTGTGCTACGGAGGTAGGCGTGCACATTAGGCAGTGCTGCCTTTCTTAGGCCTTTGTCGGTCACTGTATCTGCAGGCCTTGAAAAGCATTGAGTTGAGTTTCCTTGGAAAGTATTAAAATGTCTTAGATGTAAATTACTTGAGAGGTCTTGAATACTTTCTCTCGCCTGTCTCAGACAGTAGTATCGGTTATGATTTTGTTATTGTAGGACTGTTGTGACCGTCTGCAGGAGGCTGTTGAATCCTGTTTTGGGGGATTTTCAGTCGACATCATCAGACCTGCAGCAACGCAGTCACTGCTGCAGCTAGGAAGTGTCAAGTTTAGCAGAAGCTTAAAAGAACTTCAATAAATGAATCATTATTCTTCATTATTCTTTCATACTTTGGTGGTTACATTGTGATGCAGGTGGTAAATTGCATTCTGTGTGCTATTAAAATATGACTCGGTTAACTGTGTAGAAACCCGGCACGTCCAACTGCAACTTCAGTGTCATTTCCAGTGAGACATTTGCAGAGATGCCGTGAGTCTCATATGAGACCTGTGAATGTGAGAGATACAACTGGTTAACTTTTGATTAGTTTGGCTGTTCAGAATAAAAATACCAAACATGGCTGCCAGTCAGAATAAAGAGTGGTCAGCTGGAGAGAGTGAGACGAGGTTAGATTTAAACTCTTTAGTTAATGGGGGAGACAGCCGGTGGAAATGGTGATGATGGAGGAGGAGGAAGCAGAAAGGAAGAGTAGAATGGTTGTCCTAAGAAGAAAGCGTGTGTGTGTGTGTGTGAGATGCAGTTTACATACAATATAGATTTAGTGTAAGTGCAATGATTTTTTTTTTCTGGCCTCCGTGCCCGTCAGTCTTGTCAACACTCTGGTTTTATCGAATGGTTTCTAGTTATCTGTTTCTCTGTTTGAATGACTTAAAAGAAAAAGCTTCATATTGGTCTCATAAGAATGGGAGCTTTGCTGTCTGTGTCGGTCATCTCTCCCCAGTGATCTAAAGTGTAGAGTCTGAACAGAGAGACCGCGTTGATCATCTCAGCGTCGGTAACCTCCTCCATTAACCCTCCTCTTGTTTAGATGCTTATTGCCAGGCAACAGTACGAGGAGCTCAACTAACGGGAATGAATACAAACAAACATCACTTGAACCTAAAGGAGAGCAGAGACCTTGCTGATGAGTCATCATCGCGGTGTTTCAGGAGTGCGACCCTTTCTGCTGCACATTTTCCTCTTTCCTCTTTGCTCACGGTGAGAGCCGAGCTACAGGAAGCCCCGAGGCCGGCAGAGGAGCCGGCAAAGCTTCAGGGTTCAGCCACTTACAGGTGTAAAGGTGTCCTTCAACATGTAGCACGTTGTCAGTGGTTTCAGGCTGAAGTTCTGCAAATTAGGGCGAGGGGCGAGCCAGTTATAAGACATGTCGGCAGTAAAACGGTAAAATCTGACAAGGTGCCAAAGAGATCCCAGACCTACTTAGCAGCTCCTTGGTTGCTGCTCTGAAGACTCCGACTCATTCTGTTCTGGGCGCATGAACATTTGTTAGTGCTCGTACTCTTCGTTTCACTGCTGGTGTTACTTAATCTTTGTTGGCTCAGTATATGACACAATACATACTACAGTAAATGTGTTTCCGGTTCAGCAAAAAACTCAAATCAAAGTATGGTCTTGTGAGAATAATTCTCCTACATACATTACACGCATATTTTCTCATCTTTCACAATTCAAAAGTCCTCAGTTGAAGAATGAAAGAGACTAATGAAATGTTCAGTACACATCATATGAATGCATGCTGGTCTTGGTGCCACATATGCTCATCTCTCTCTCTCTCTCTCTCTCTCTCTCTCTCTCTCTCTCTCTCTCTCTCTCTCTCTGTGTTTTCAGATCTGAAGAGGGAGGCCAGCATCTGCCACATGCTGAAGCATCCCCACATCGTGGAGCTGCTGGAGACGTACAGCTCAGACGGGATGCTCTACATGGTTTTCGAGTAGTAAGGATCCCACTCACAGCATGATTGAACATACAAGTGGCATCAAAAGACCCTCACGCCGACACCCGTGTGGGTAAAGGAAAAAGAGATAGCGGGGTGGATGTCACATTGGGTGGCACCTTACAGGAGAGGGTGAAGAGGAAGGTGGTGTTAGGAAAGAGGAGAGAGAGGAAGGAGACGGAGGAAAGGATAACGGCGTGGTGGCAGCAATAGCAGGACAGAGAGAAACCCTGCGGTGCTTTTATATAATCAGCACTGATACGAGAAAGCTTGTTAGCTGAGGATGGGGGTTGGGTAAGGAGGGGGGGGTGCAGTACCATATATATGAAGGGAAGGAGATGAGATTAAGATTTCACACTTGCCCTTAGCTCCAGCCTTTCTCAGAGCTGCTGCCTCTCCCGAGCTCCTCGCAGGCCCGCTCTGTATCTCCATCTCTCCTCCTTTTCCAGAACTAATTCCTTTATCGTTTAATTCTGTTATCGCTGAACAGGCAAGCGCACTCGGGTTTCGGCACACGGCTCCATCATACGGCTCGGTGCAGGCGAGAAAACTCTCAAGGAAAATGCAAGTGAGCTCCTTTTTTTAAAAGGGGGTTTTTCACGGTGTCGGAGCTCATCTGTGCACGAGCTCGTGCTCGGTACACACTGTAGAGACACGTGGGAGTGCAGGTAGTTTGGAGGCGTTTTTTGAGCGGTGCAGCCCTCTGAGAGAACAGATAACTGAGTCAACATGGTAGATAAACGCAGAGAGCTTCATCCATCTCCCTGTCTTCCAGGCCTCCCTCCTGGCTAGTCAAGCAGCCTAAAATGTGATCGCCTACGTGAGGTGATGGGAGTGGAGGAAATACGGACGTGCCCCCTGCCAAGTCCTACAGAACGGCGCCGTTTAATTGGTGCAGAGGCTTAGTGACAATAAAGAGACGGGTGCCGTAATTGGGGAAGAATGAGAACAGAGCAATTATGAGCGACAGGATCGGCTGTAGCTAAATGATAATAAATGTGTGTCATTCACTGTTCAGTGTGTGTGTGTGTGTGTGTGTGTGTATTGTGTAAGTAAAGAGATGGCTGGATAGGACCGAGGTAGTTTGCACAGGACCTAATGGCCACAGCTTGAATCCCGAGCAGCTCATTGAGTGTGAGGCGCGGCACTTCTTCAGCCCATTGATACGCGCCGTCACCTCCGGCTACAGCCTGGTTCTAACTGGGCCGAGAAAGCTGTCGTCGTTTAAGCCTTAGCGTCTTCGCTCTAAATTACTCCGGAGGGATTTTACCAAAGCAAAAGCATTAAACCTCACCGTCACAGCAGCAGCTTCTCCTCCTGAAGGCTCAGGCGACGTCGCAGAGCTGCATGAAGCCTGTGCAGATGTTCTCCTCTTACAATCAGAACATGATCGTCCAACAATTTCAAACCTGAAGTTGCTTTGACACACGCACACTTAAATAGTTACTAACAGATAAGAGGAGTGGGCATATATATATTTATATATATATTATATCTTTTCTGTCCATACATTTAAATAAATACATTTAGCATCCGATAACACGTGGATTTTGGTTCAGAGAGCACCACCTAACCTTTTGTTCAATTTAAAATTTACAGTATACAAAAAATAATTTATTTGAAATTCACCTGTAACAAAATAAGCTCCCTCTAGTGGAGTACCTACGGGACATCTTTAAAAACACCCGGCATCCTTTATGGGCCTCTCCAGCTGTGTATCTTACAAAAGAAAATAAAGTAATTATGTTCATAAAAAGTTAAAATTGCCCTCTTTAGTTTGTTTGAATGTATGCAAATCTGAAGTAGCCCCCCCCCCCCCCCCCCCCACCACCACCACGTTTACATCCCTGAGTCGTTGGATACTGTCGGCATCATACTGGCTGTTTCTGTATCACACCATCAGCCCACAGAGACACAACATGATTGCAGCTTTTCCTCTACTGACTGGCGTCGCCCGTTTCATCTACACAACCAATCACAGAGACGTGTTAATACGTGTGACCTTTCCTTTGTACCCAGATTCCTGACTTGGCCTTTACGCTGATCCTCTCTCTGTGTGTGTGTGTGTGTGTGTGTGTCTTTCTTAGCATGGATGGAGCAGACCTGTGCTTTGAGATCGTAAAGAGGGCAGATGCTGGCTTTGTCTACAGCGAAGCCGTGGCCAGGTGGGGATTCACGCATTTTGATTTTCAATCCTTTGGAGATGCTCTCTCATGCTGCCGTTGGTATTCACGACACAACAATAACTGTACAACGTCTTTCCTTCAGTCACTACATGAGACAGATCCTCGAGGCGCTACGCTACTGCCACGACAACAACGTCATCCACCGAGACGTCAAGGTATTTCTGACGCTTCATTTTCTAACTTTACTGCGACCGTACTAAAACTAATGCAGGTGTGGATCCAATTGTATGATTTTGGAGGGTTTAGTTTGTGGTGCACATCGTCCAAAATGTGTTTGAGGAAAAAACAAGTCTGATAATAAATAAATGAATATAATTTACATAATCTTAAAAAACACTTTAGGCTTTACAGCCACAGCTGAATTGTATTTTAATTGCAGTCTACTGGAGGTTTGTACAACATTATTATTATTTTTAATTTAGTTTTCATATTGTTATGTTTGGATAACAGATGGTAGAATCTCAAAAACACATTGTGTGTTTTTTAATTGATGGACTGCCCGGGAGACGGTTTTGATACCAATTAAAACCTCAGAAACAAAAAGAAAACAGCAGCTGGATGGAAAACAAGATGAACTGGATTCGTAACACTCGTTGCCTGCTGCGATTCAGATGTTAAAATTGCAGCGGCCATTACTCTCTCTGCTTGTAGGCAGCAACATCATTGTGTATGCACCTGCAGGTCGGATCTGCTGCTGCAGCAGCGTTGTTCTCCTGTAGGTGGCGCCTGTTGTCACATGTAGAACTGATCTGACAGTCTGCTGCCTCCCAAAACCTCAATAAGTGAACCTCTGAGTTTAGTACTAGTCAAGTTATTGCATCCAAAAACAGATATTGTTCCCTCCTCTTTCTGTGCTCTGTGTATTATCCAGAAACCATTCAATTCCTAGTAGCGCGTACAGTTGGATTTGACACTGATTGACTCATATTTTGCCGGTGTTGAGAGAAAAACCTTCAGCAGCTCACTCTCTTATCATATCACGGGAATGATCAGCGACTCTTCAAAATGGAGTTAGTGAATATAAAACACTCTCAATTCAGGTGTTATTCATACCCAGCAAGACGACTAATTGCTTTGAGTGTTCTGACTGAAGCCTGCTGTGTGGTGGATGGCAGGGAGCAGGGAACTGACAGCTTAGTTTACACTGTTAGAAATTCACGTCCTGTGTGAGATTTATTCACATTTTTCCACTGCAGAACGAACATGTGGTGCGTTACGCTGCTTCTCCTCCCCACACGCCTGCATCCGTGTGAAAAGGTTAATAATGCATCAGCCGCGTTTGTATTCTCGCGTGTGCTGTGGGCTGCAGGTAGCTATCGTGTCAGCCGGTCGTAACCGACTCTCCACAGTGAGAAGAGCCGGCCTGGTTCCAGGAGAAAAAGAACAATGATAAAATAAGGCTTTGCATTCAAAGCGCCGTCTCTTGTCTCCTCCGTCACACTCTGCACATTCACAAACAAGCAGCGCGAAAACACAATTCCCTCGGCAGCCTCCCCAGTTGTGAGTTTAACTGTTTTTATGTGATATTCACAGAGCTCAATGGCAGCACTTCATTTTATGTGTGTTTTATTGCCTTTTCCAAGAGACTCATTACGCGTTTTCTATGATCACAGTCAGCTCCCAGCTCGTGGGTTACTGTCTGTGCCCTCGGCATAGTGCTCAGGTATTAGTCATCGTAACCTACGCGGTCCTATCTCTGTGTCTTCAGTCTGCTGCTCTCCCACACCGGATCCCTGCTGAATCACTGGCTTAGTGTCATTGTCTATGTGTGAGCGAAACCAGCCGGTAAGTTCAGCAGGACGGGAAGCGATACACATGTTTACACCTACAGTATGTGTGTTTCAGTGCATTTCCTGGCTATTAGAGTGATATCGCTTTTGTTTTAGTTGCGTACACCTCCTGTTTCCTCTAGTTCACCACTTATATGCCATGACGTCGGGTGTAATATACCCAAAAATCATCACAGCACCTTTACACAAATCTAAACTAGACATGCATCCACCACTCAGCCACCGGTCTCATATATCCCATTGTTTGCCGGTCACATTTCAACACAGCATGATGGTTTTACGTCACATGAAGAAGATACAAAGCTTGTAATTTGTAACACTTTCAAGTCCAAAATATGCTGTGATACACATCTCTGTTTAATTATGAGCATACAATTGAATTTCAATTTTCCATGAAGGAAGATTATTTGTGTATCGCTGTATTATTGCTCTTTGGAAGAATCAGCGCGTCAGACTTGCAAAAATATCTGAATCGGCCGAGAAAATTGTAACCGGTGCATTTTTTTAAACTGAAACCTTGATTCCTAAAGCAAATCCATAAGGTGGAGGCTTCTCTCTTTGACACACACACAGAGAGAGGGAAGAAGAAATCGGTAACATTGACAATCAGAAGAGACTAAGAACGGAATCCGTAGAACTGAGATAGTAAATTGCCACATAATGAGTACAGAGTCTTAAAAGGAAAAATATAAATCAATTTCCCCTGGAACCAAGTCTGACTAACATCTCAGTATCTTTTCCACATCTGGATACATCTGAAAGTCCTCATAACTGAGAGAGAAGGCCCTAAAGCTGTACTCTCCAGACTTAATGTCTCTAATGATACAAATGGTGATAGATGAGGGAGGAATAACTTAAATGTTGAAGCAGCTTTTTTCCTTCCATGAATCTAGAACAAGCATGCCTTTCTGTTAAAGCATCTTCAACAACAATTATCGCCCCGTGGGCAGAATGTTGTACTATTTACAGGCAAGACGTCGATTAATAATGTGACTTCCTGTCAAAGATTTAAGCGTCAGGCAGTGTGTGTGTGTGTGTGTGTGTGTGTGTGTGTGTGCGTGTGCGTGTGGACATGGGGCCCACAGAGAACACTTTTCACACACTGATTCACTGACTCAGAATGAAAAATCTTACTTCCTCCTGGTGCATTCTTTTTGTTGTTGTTGTTGTCCTGTTCCCCAGAGATGTAGGAAGCATTTCAGCCACACGTCCACACCACATATCTCTCATTTCTCAGCAAGAACACGTACATTTGAAACTGAGAATGAAGTCGTAAACCATCATTACGTTTCAGGTGCATTACACCTGACTGAAGATGCATTAGTTTACCCATTTCAAAGTACTGATTCAGCATTCCAAGTATTGTTCTTTGGATCTTTATTGTTAGAGTGCTGATTCAGCATTCCAAATGCTGATATTTACTTTATTTGTCTGGAAGCTGATATAAAAAGATCTAACCCTAACCAAAAATTGTTCATTGTCTATTTTGGTGGGGTTATGTCGAGAGGGAGTGAATTTGAAATATGCTTGTAGTCTGGATTGACTTAGCTAGCTAGTTTTGAGTTAATGTCCAGTAAACTCCAGCAATGAATAGAACATGAATAAATGCAGCTTTGACTTTGGTTCACTTCTGTTATCACCATTTAGCAGTGACTGTGTGAGCTCCTATCTCTGGTTTATCAGATGTACTGTCTGAGATTTATGCCCTTTACAAGGGGCACACCGGGGGGGGCACACACACACACACACACACACATGCAGTGCATTAACAACTTGAAGGGCACACGAAGAGCGCAGACTTCCACCGAGGCCGTCTGAATATAATGTGTGTATGGACCCCCGGGATTCAGATTCCCTCCAAAATTGAACGTGTTCTGTCTGAGCCCACGTGACTCCCTTCCACCAGGTTTCGTGAAGATCGGGCCGGTTGTTTTTCCCGTAATCCTGCTGATTAAACAGACAAACAAGCCGAACAGAAAGCATGACCTCCACGGCGGAGGCAACAAGGCCGTCCTTGTTGAATATGGATCAGCTGGAGTGTGCCACATCGTTCCAATGCGTGAAAGTCACTGAGTCCATTTAAATCCTGATCATAAATCCTGATGTCTCTGTATGTCTCTTCCTCCCCACTTCACCGCAGACCTCCAGCGGTGACGGCAGCACCGCTGTGTTTGTGTGTCTATTTCTGTGCGCTTGCCTTTGGCCCTCTCGTTGCCGCAGACGGCGTTCATGCCAATGCGGCGCAGGCTGCTAGAATGACTTTATCCGGCTCAGTGTTTTCAATGCTCAAGTTTGAGCGCCAGTGAACTTTCCTTTCCTTCCTCACACATCCAGGGTTTGTGCTATAGCACACCGTTTTTGAAGTTGAAGCCGTGCTGGATGTTTGATCTGCGAAACACGGATCCTGATGTTGTGTTGAGCAATCCGAGGAATCCGTAAACACGGCAGAGCTTTTGATGTAAACATAAATGAATAGAGAGAGAGCCACGCTGCTGCAGAGCCATACCTTAACATGCAACAATAGTATTTCTTTTTTCTTCAGGTATACTAAGGTGAAAGGAGCTCCTGTCACAAGAAACAGCAGGCGTTACTTCTGTGAATGTCATAGTTTGGCTGTCTATAATATAGCGGTGTCTCTGCAGGAACACTGAAACCTCGCACCAACGGTAATGCCTTCCTATGGCCTTTCTGTAAGTCGTGATGGAGACAACTTCTCTGTATGCTGTGGTTAAGGTGTGAGTGCACCCATGCTTTGCCATGTTGCAGTTTACTAAGCTGATGGAACGCCTGATTCATCATCGCTGCGACGGATAAAAACAACTTAGAGTACGAGCAGCGTGTTGTTCTCCCTCACCACTTCACCTTTCCATTTCCCGCTGTGGCCTCCTGCTCATTGTTCCTCACGTTGAATGGCAGCGCCGGTCCAGTGCCATATGATTGAAGCTATCACTAATACTCAATAAAGTAGTCGCGCTATATTATTTCCGATTAGTTCACAGCAATACATCTTGTCTCAGTTTGACCAAAACTCTCTCTCACTTATTTTTCATGACTTATTCAATATCATCAGGCTTTTAAACCAACATGTCCTCGCTTAACAGCCGGCCTTGAGTCCTGTGGAACGACTGCACTCTGACAGCTTTGTTTGTACTCGCTTTTCTGTAATCATCTGTAAACTCAAATCTCATTCATGAACTTCTTTAAGCCCTGTAAAGAAAGAAGTCAAGTTATTACATGCATCATAAATAAACAAAGGTTGAATACTCTGGAAACAATTTGATTTCTACCCAGATACAGATCTAAGACCTCCTGTTTCTAAAGCGTCTTGAAACGAACTAGCCGTCTCTGTATAATCCCTAGACATGCAAGTTGTGCTTTTATCAGTGAACTGTTTGTGATTGTCACATGATCGCACGGGCCACGTTTCCGGCCGCATGTGCATGTTAGTGCACGTGAGTCCCAGTTTGTGTGTTTGTGCGCCCCACTAGTTTTGCCGTCACGTTGAGAGCCGTGTTGAGGCAATCTTTCAATCATAAATATGCTCCGAAATTTCGAATTGAGGACCTTAAAACTGTCTCGTCTTCAGCCGATAATTCATGGTCAGCACGCGTTAATGCACCCACACCATCAGATCTCATTCACTGCAGGTACTTTGTGACAAGTGGAGTGAATCTCCTCTCTAGTCCTTTCTACTGAAGCCTGAGTTTGAGCCGCACATCTGGAAAACAGACCGGACTGAATGATTGTGTCCGTGTGCTCACCTGTCGGTCCCTCTGCACAACAAATGCCACATTCTACATATGAATAGGTACAAGTGAAATAGATGGAGAAAAGACTCATGTCCCCTCTGAATACTTGAATGTCAGCTGTTTTTACCAGATAAAATGGGCCTCTGGTTCACTCGGCCCTCTTTGTGAGACACACGGAGGACTATTAGCTGCCTTGTTAGTGCTGTTTGTGTGATGATGTGTGGCTGCATGGAAGAGCTAATAGCTTATTTAATGGCATTCAATGGGCCTTAAGGGTGTCGACCATGAAATTATGACATTGAGGTTTCACACACACACACCCATGCCGTCGCACGCTGATGCAGAAATATCTGCATCCATTTATACACAATCTACTGGTTTGAAATGTGTCTCAGATGTTCGGGTTTGATGGCAAAATTGCACCTTTGTGTACCACGGCGCTCGTCAGATTCATGGCCGTTTTTGTTGTAATTGTAGCTGTTGTTTTTCCAGAGTTGTTGTCTAACTGTCGAAGAGACAAAGAGACGGACGCAGCTTGTCGTCTCTATTCTCATATTGTGCTTTTGCCATTGGAGATTTCCAGTGCCAGATATGCATGCACGCAGTTGGACAAATCCCAGTAAGCCCCGCCCTAAAGCATCCCCTGCTTTATGGTCTGTTTGACTCTAAATGGACCATAATGTACTAAATGAACATCATGCTGTATTGAAGAAGACTTGAAACTAGAGATTGAGACCATAAACTCATGTTTACAATGTTTACTGAGGTAATAAATCAAGAGAGAAGTAGAGTCATCTTCTCATAGACTTCTATATAACCAGAGGAGTCGCCTACTCACAGCCATTAGAGAGAATGCAAGTCTAAGGCACTTCAGTATTGGCTTCACTTTTCAGACCAAGAGGTTGCCGCCAGGTGTGAATGCAGCCTAACTGCTGTTTGTTTTTAACCGCCCACACTACGTTCACGCTAAGGTATGTTTAAACTTCTACTTGGTGCAACAGCTTGACGCAAATGAAAAGTGAGAACAGAGAAGCGGGATCTCGTTATGTACATGGCATCCTGAGATAAGAGTGTTAAACTGAGCTTATTTTCTCTTTTACGTACGAGTTTCAAAACGGGAAACCCTTCTGCACTCTCACATGAGGTGCGTGTCAGGAAATGAAAGTCCACATGACAACATAAAGACGGGATCCTGCTCACTGTCTGAAGAACTTCTCATTGATAGACTGGTGACTTTTAAAAGTGCCGTTAACAGCCTTCCACCTCCCGAGAATGCCGGTAGCGATGATCTCTCATGTCTGAGAGCGTTTTGCCTGAACACACAAAAACAATAATCAGCCATCGTGTGCCTGCCTCTTTGACAACAATGGACAGCCACTGGAACTAATGCCATCTCTGGGGAAACTCCTGCTTTTCTCACAACAACAACAAATCAATGCAAGAATGCACACAGACACACACACACACACACACACACACACATGTGTACATACATGCACCAGATACACAGTGTCTTTGATACGGGCCGCTGGTATCTGTATTGAAGCCAAACAATTGGGGCAATTATTTAGATAATAGTCAAAATCATTCAGTAAGGAATTAGTTTCAGCAAATGAGAGATGAAATGCTTTAAGTTAAGCTTCTAGAACTTTGTCGGGGGATGGGTAAGTGAGTGGGACTTAAACTAGACCCGGCCTTCCTGCCTATAGACCGAAGCAACGCAACTTTTATTTTATTTTTATGAGTGCATAACAAATGTGAAGCATGTGAAGGCCAGTAAACTGTTTCATGTAAACAATTAAACGTTTTATCAAAGTTTTTTTAAAACAATGGTGTTGTTGCCACTGGGTACGGACAGAAAAGGTCTCCCTCACTTTTCTGAATCCTTGTTTTGCACCCACATCTTCTACAGTTTTACAGTCGGAGTGACTCAAATCTAAAATTAAAAAAAGAAGTCAATGGAACTGAAAGCTCTGCAGATACTGGTGCAACTTATGTATACTAACTATTAAAATGTACAGGTTACAGATTATGCACACATAATATTTATCATTTCCAGATCAATCTAATTTTCAATAGGGTTATCTATTATACAACAATTAACATTTCTGATTAATATTATTAAAGGCACAATGACCAATTTATCACATTGTGTCGTTTGCTACGTTGATGTAAATGCGTCAATATGCGAAAAGAGATGTCGGTACTCTTTTTATTTTATTATTTTTTAAGCCTGAGTTTGTGTCCACCTCCTCCTGACAGGAAGATGAGACTTTTTCTCGGATGGTATCCCTCCAGCTACAGTATATTACAAGCAGCAAAGGCTCAGACTGTGGCTCAGCACATCGCTCGTTATTATACATTCTCCCCATCTCCCTGTGAATTCTCCTGGCTCCGTTTCTTTTATGCCTGCTGTGTGTTTTTCCTCTGGCCTGTGTGTGTGTGTGTGTGTGGGGGGGGGGGGGGGGGTCTGCTTCTGTCTGCAAAGCCCAGGCCCCTCGGACGACACGCATCTGCAGGGGCCACACTTCACAGAACATTGTCTTCTTGAAAACTCTCCCAACACAAGTCTCAAACACCAGCGCACATTCTGTAATCCCGCCTCAATAATTTACACACAATTACCGAACAAGGCTGAGCACACATGGATATCAAATATTTATAGCCTGTTGTTGTACATGATTGGTGCTCCACAAACATTTCCTTGTACATTTCAAAATGAGACTTTCTTTCTCACAGATCATAACACTTTTTTAATTTTTTTTCTTTTTTTTGAAAGGAGTGACATGGCTAGATAAGACATTGCACTTTATATATTTATATATTAACCTCTAGACTACCCGGACGCCATCACTTTATACGTTTTAAAAGTCCGTGTTCATTTAAAAGAAACATTTTCCGGCTACATAACAGTTCCTTGAGTTAAATCAGTTCCATCCTCCAGGTGTCCGGTCCTCTGATTGTCACTTCCCATCACCGTCGGACCGTCGGTCTGCCTCCGGGGCTGTTTTGGTGGCACCTTAAAAGTCTGAGGGTTTGATGACGGAAGGTCCTGTCTAACAGGTAGTACATCAAAGGGTCAGTTGCACTTCTCAATGCAGCCAGAAGCAGCAGGCAGTTCTTCAGCTAGAGGAAGAGGAGAGAGAAACTCGTCATAACTCGGTACGGTAGTAAAGAATAGCCTTTATTTGCATCACGGTGATATTCGGTCACCTCGACGAAGATGGAGAGTGGATGACAGTGGTTGCCTGGTGAATACATCAGCTGACGGTCATTTACCAAAGAAATAAAGATGGGTTTGAAGATATGGTACGGCAGCAGACAAGCTGAAAGAACAACCTGAGAGGAGTAGGTTAAAAAGGATTCAGGTAAAATATGGATGACAGTGGTTTTATGATATAGATTCATGTTTGACTCAAGCAATAGGAATTATTTATGGTCATTAATGCAATAAACATACTTTAAATTCGTATGATATAACTTATAACCACCTGGATGACCACGATGTTGCGGAGCACCCTACCCAGCAGCCTCTGGGAGATTTTGACCCTTGTGCTGTGAAGTGAGTGTCGGATATGCCTCAACACGGTCATGTAGGACAGCAGCACCAGCAGGTAAAACACAAAGAACAGGGTTATAACGGGCACAGCGAGCATTGCAGACCGCCTGCCCCCTATCTCCACCGCGGGGTTGTAGCACACCTCCGCACATCCATCCTTCACAGCCGCATCGCCGCTCGCGGCTTCGTTCACAGAGTAGTAAACCGTCACCGGCACTGTGCTCCCGACCGTCACCACCCAGATGGCGGCACACACCCTGCTGGCGAAGGAGGCCTGCGTGAGACAGGCGAAGAAGCCGAGCGGCAGCAGCGTTGTGCAGCCGCTCGGCCTGGAGGCGTGGGTGTGCTGGATGAGGGCCGCAAAGCGGCTGAGGGCCACCCAGGTGAGGATCATCATGCTTATGTTGATGTTGATGTAAAACACCGGGGTGATGCCGTGCAGAACCAGCTGACACAGGAAGCCGCTTTGTGTCCAGACCGAGCCCCTCGCAAAGTAGGCCGCCAGGAAGGGCGTGGTGAGGGCCAGCATCAGGTTGGAAATACTCAGGTGGGACAGATAAATGTGGACGGGGGAGAGGGTGGCGATGCACCGCAGGAACACCCACAAAGACAGCGCGTTGCCCGGCAGAGCGGTGAGTAAGAGGAGTGTGTAGGCGGAGGGGAGGAAGAAGAGCGTGGCGGCGGTGGGGCAGAGGACGGAGCAGGAGAGGGAGGCGTTATCCGATGTGTTCTCCATTTGATCTGTAGGAAGATGATGGATAAGAGAGAGAGGACAGAGAAACAAAGCTGCTGTAAGCAATACAGACACTTAAAGAAAACACTCCTTCAGCAAGATAAAACAGCTCAGCGCTTTTATTTGTCTCGGTGCGATATGATCATGATAGATACACAGAGCGGGTGTTCATTTTAACATGTACATTCATTTTTAAACTACCCCTGAAGTCATTGCCTATATTTGAATGAGCAGAAAAAAAATAAAACATTCAACATATTGCAGCATTTTAGAATTTAGATATTTTTTGTTTTCCTTCAAATGTTCATGTATTTTCTTCTTCATTTTTGTGATGTTATTCTAAATATAGAAACGCACAGATGGTAAAGCAGATTGACACTAATTATTAGTCAATGTTTTGCTCTCATCTTCGAGCAAAACACCCCATATGTGTTTACCAGAAAGAAAAAGTGCAAAACACTTTCGGGAAAAAAGTGACGGCCAAATTGATGTAATGTTACACAATATTTTCACAGTGTTTGAACGCCTGACGTTCATTAAACTCTTTTTATCTGTTAAGATTACCACAGGTGATAAACAGTCAGCAAATGAGGATACGTATCCAAATTAACATCCAGATCATGTTGGCGTGATACATACCACAGACGGAATCATTCAAAGACATCAACAGCAGCAAATGAAGAATTCAAAGATGCAAAACCTCTCTGTAACTTCCTGCTTCTTAACGAACTAGAGGTTCATGATAGACATTTCAGAGCCGGTCTCTCGTGTGTGTGTGTGTGTGTGTGTGTGTGTGTGTGTGTATATATAAAGTATGTGTCTGGGTCAGTGTTACAGAGGCTATATTTGTTTTCTACTTCCTCATTTACCATACGTGATGAGGAAAGTTACGTAGTGTGTTACTTGAGAATAGAAAACGAGGCTGAGAAGTTGTGGCGCTCTGTGCTTGTGTATTTTAATAAGTCCTACATGAAAGGTGGTGCATGCTGACAGTATAAGTTTTAATATTGTTTATTTCCTCATGTAGAATTTAGAGTCTACTCCCCCCCCCCCAGTCCTCACTACACAGCAGTGATGTGAACACGGCCGGTTGTTTCATTCTGCCTTGTGGTGGCACTGCTGCTCTAGTTCTAGCTGAGAAGAAGAGAGAGTTGGAAGTGTTCTCTCTCCTCTTGTCACACTGTGGAATCTATATTGATTGACCCGTTGACCTATTTAAATTCTCAGTTGATAAACAACATGCCTAACCACAGTGGCATTAGCTTTGAAAACAAGTAGATACAGTACAAAGTCTAGACCCAGTCCTCAGTAGGACATGTTTTTTACATATCACAAAAAAAGATCTGACTCTTTACAAAGAGCGGTTGTCCCTCGGTGAAGCCGGACACTTTCATCTCGGTAAAAGCTTCTCTGTGATCGTCGTCATTTGTCGTGAAAGTTCCGGCTTTGATGTCGTCTGCGTCTTCTTAGGGTCACGTATTGCTGCATTGTTTGTACTCCAGCAAGTACTTGATTTCAGATTTAAATAAATAAATTGAAACAAGATCACAAATCCTTTCTTTGGTGATCCCAATGTTGTACTTGTGGTAGTGGAGCTGTCACTGGTTACTCTACATTAATACGGTGGCAGATATGAGGATGAACCTTTGCTGAAGAACACAACAAAGTCCCCGATCAGGTTCAGGGTTTCTTCTTGAACTGAAATGATCAATCGCCAGAAAATGAATCAACAACAAATTTGATAATAGATTTGGTCATTTATCAAGATAAAACATTATAAACATTGGTTCCAGATGTTAGCAGCTCTTCTCTGTTTTACTTCATTGTAAATTTAAAATATTTGATTCTGGACAAAATAAGTAATTTGAAGCTCTGATAAATTGTTTGTAACATTTTTAGCATGCTACCAGCTGGATGGAAATGGTGGTCCATCCACCACCTTTTTGTCCAGAGTGACCATCATTAAATAACACAACTATTCAATGGATTGCCGTTACATGTGGTGCAGATAAGCGTGGTACCGAGAGAAGCTCTGGTGGTCTCCTGACTCTTTCTGTGGCGCCACAAACAGGTCAAAGTTATCACTGTTATCTCAACGCCTACCTGATGGATTTGCACGCATGCTGTTTACTAATGACTTAATGACTCTACTGCCACCTTCAGGTCCAAATTTCAATTTGTCAAATACCTTTGCTCATTACTAAATACCTGCAGAACTGAAGACTTTCCCATCAGCCTCAGCTGTACTTTGAGTTGAATGCTAATTAGCTAATGTAAGATTGCTAACAAGCTGAACTAAGATGGTGAACACGGTAAACATTATACCAGAGAGATGAGTACTTTATTAATCCTGCAAGGGGAGATCTTTATTTATCATTCATAGGTACACGTAAAACAAAGCAATACAAATAACAGACTACAACATGTTAAATATAAAAAGCACAATATATACAATTAAACAGAATACTATTACATGAACTAACTAAACAATCGTGCAAAGATTTAACGGTGAAACGGCAGTGTAACAGTGTTATAGTTGTGGGATTGATTTGTCCGGAGGTGATGGCAGGTTGTTGCTTAAAATAGAGAGGACATGTTAACAGTATGACACCATTCTCACAGCAAGCTTCAGCAAAATGACACAATTAGAATGCAAGTTTAAGGAGCTAACTTTTTATTCGCTCAGACAGGAGAATCAAACTGATGAAGCTGCTGTTGCTCCACCTTTTTTTTACTCTTCATCAGGTATGTTTGTTCACTGTAGATGAAGAAATGTATAATTCATGATACTCCTGTAAGATGAGTTCCTGCCTTCATCAACTCAGGCGACAGCAGCAAATAGAAGTACGTGTTGAGGAGAGCGACAGTCAGTCTGCCCTGCTCCTCAGCAGCGTGGTTGCTGTCATGCTTACTTTGGAGAAGGTGGAGACTCGCTGTCTCAGAGTGCCTTTACATTCCAGCTTGGCTGGATTCGGTCGTTGTCTTCTCCTTCAAATGGGTGCTGAAGCTGACGCTTGCCTGTCCTCTGTTAGTCCTCCCGTTCTTACTGTCCGGCTCCACACTGGAGCTGCTCCCGCTGACTCCACCGACGTCTCGCATGCAAAACACGTTGCTCACCAAGCGCAGCACCTCCTTCCTCACCGAAGAGGACAACAGGAAGTACATAACAGGATCCAGGCAGCTGTTGAGGGCAGAGAACAGCAGAGCCAACTCGTTGGCTTTGTCAGCAACACCCTGCCAGAAACACGACATGCCTGTGATCTGGGTTTTTATGTAGAACACCCTGACCATGTGATAGGGCACGAAACAGACGGTGAAGAGGAAGAGGATGAAGAAGGACTTCCTGGCAGTTCGGGTGTAGCGGGAGGCGTTAGGCAGGTCCGGTTTCTCCTGCGATGTTCGCAGAAGCTTGAGCGCGATCTTCCCGTGAGACACCACCAGAGAGATGAAGGCGAGCCAGAAGACAACCAGCACAAATATGTTGATGTAGGCTTTCCACTCTGCGTTATGGAGCTTCTTATAGTGGAAACACCTGGAAACAGCAACATGTCTGGGGGACAAAAACAGTAGGACTCAATAAATAGATAACAGAGTTTGATTATAAGAAGAGCTGTCTAAGAAGAGAGTTTTTTTCACAGGATCACGCAAAAGCACCACTTTAAATTTCTTGGAAATAAGTCAATCAGCATGAAAAAGCATTAAAAAAAAATGACGAATTTACTAAAGAAATCTCAGTCGCCAAGGACCAAATTAGTCTAAGCAGGGGCAGCTCTACAGGTGTCACCAACCTGTCCGACTGTGGGGCATTTTGTGGCATCAGGAGCGCCAAAGTGAAAGCAAAGGCCACGGTCCAGACGACCGCACAGATGGCAGTGCTCCACCTCGTGGTCCGCAGTCTGTGCTGCACCCTCGCACCTCGCTGGATCTTCAGGTAGCGGTCCACGCTGATCAGCCCCAGCAGCGTGACACTGATGTACATGTTCATGTAGAAGAGGTTGCCCACCACTTTGCACAAGATGGGACCCAGGGTCCAGACGTTGCCTCGGCTGTGGTAGAGTATCCTGAACGGCAGACACACCACCAGCAGCAGGTCGGCAAAGGCAATGTTTATGAGAAACACCCGCACCGAGTTCTTCTTGGAGTCAACGCAGAAGAAAACCAACAGAGCCACCAGGTTCCCAACGAGACCCAGGATGAAGATGATAGTGTAGAGCACCGCCAACGGGCTCTGCAGCGCGCCGTGATCCACGCAGGGTTCTTGGGTCGCGGTGAAGTTCATCTCGCCGGTTGTGGGAGACGTGGTGGAGATGTTTCCTGTCATGGTGGTCTTTGTGATCCTCAGTCCTGCAAAATTGGAAGAAAAGAAGTGTGGAATAGTTTTGGATTAAGTTTCTTTGCTTCACATGATAAACTATTGGATTCATTAGTGCAGGCTTGTGTGGTCCAGCTGTATGGATTAGCCTTAAGCCTGCCCTCAATAATCACATATACCACCAGCTGACCACCAGAAAGAATCCACAGCATTAATAACTCTGTGCAGGTTGACGGGTCTTTGCTTTCTACGTGATTTCATCTATGAATAGAAGTGCAGAACTCGTGAGTGCCAGTATTGTTTTAATCATAATGCACCAAACCAGTTGAACAACCAGCGGTGCACGTCCAGTCAGTTCATATGAAAAGATCAGTGACTGAATTAGTAGTAAAAAGTAAAGAGCTTGCTTTGCTCGACGCACGCAGCCCTTCATTTAGCAGCTTTAAATGTTGTAAATACTTCAAACTGGAACTTGTTGAAGTACTCACCTAGTCATTGAAGTCCATTAAAGAAATGTTTGCACACAAACTCTGCTGTGGAGTAGAATCACTTGTGCTTTTGGTCGTCCTTTTCTTTTCCTCTCGCTCACTCCAGCTTATTCCCTCGAGCTTAAGCTGTACAATATGCCCTCCTCATAAAGTTCAAGGTCCCTTCCTTCTGTCTTTGTGTATTCAACTCCCCGCTGTTGTCTATATTCCAGTCTGCAAATATTATAAGTTCAGATAACAACAACCGCCGTGTAGAGTTAGTTTCCTCTCCGTGTGAAGCGTGTCCTCGCCGGCGGTGTCGTGGAAAGTATACAGAGAAATGCTGAAGTGCAGAATGTGGTGATGTTGTACAGAGAAAACCTTCAAGCTGTGGTCAACCCCCTCTTTCCTCACTACCACATTGCAGAACTCGGGCCGAGATAGAGAGCAGGGCAGGGCTTAGGGCGGACCTTCTGATTACACACACGAGAGCAAGCAGTGGGATCACAGAGCATGCTCCAATTGTATGTACACAATATGCTTTCCACTTCGGCCTCCGAGTATAATATGGAGGTATCCGCCGAGTGTGGCCGACTGCGAAAGGAAAACGGCTCCCGAAATACCCATCGTATGCCCTCAACAATAATTAAAGCGGTGCTTTCAGAGCAAAGCAGGGCCAGGTTTAAATTGCCACCCAGGAGACATTAGCTGCCGTCAGCTTCTGAGCAGAGGCATTATTAACAGACATTTTTGTGTGTGCCATACGTACACATATCAGATAGGCATGCCATATATGTGCACATGTTTTATGTGTTGGAAGGTTTTAGCAACCACAAATGTTTTACTTATAATGAGCTATAAGGAAATAAGGATGCAAGAAGCTGCTTTAACTTTAGGCAAATTGGAAAAAAGTCACGCTTGAGTTTTTCCGGAGAGGTAATGGAATAATGTGACATTGCAGTATTCTAACATATTCCTCCCCTCACAAGAGTGTTGAACTAAAAATGAATTTGCAAGTTGATTAATTTCTCCGCTAGCAGTCACTGTATTTGCATTTCTTTCTTCTTTTGAGAAAGGTCTTTGTCAGAATAAAATTGATGAATTTACTACATTGTAACTAAAACAAACTTGACATTCTGCTTAAGATACTGAAGCAGAAGATAAAATGTATATCTCTCTTCCTCTGCTGTGATCCTCCTACAGTGTGGGTTACTCGGGTGTGTGGTCGTGGTGGGTGATGGTTTTGGGGGTTCGGGTGTGTCTCGCACATGTGATTTCCTTTATTTATAGGAGGGGTGTCTCTCTTTAATTAGCTAAAGGCGAGCATCAAATCACAAGTGTCTCTTTTCTCTCCTCTCGTTCTCAGCCCCACTGTGTGCTGCTGGCGTCCAAAGAGAACTCCGCTCCGGTGAAGTTGGGGGGGTTCGGAGTCGCCATCCAGCTCGGGGAGTCGGGACTGGTGGCCGGAGGTACAGCAAACACAACCGTACACAACGAGTGTGAATAGTCATTAAAGTCTGGATAAAACTGTACAATCAGCACTCGCACGCTACCTAATGACTCGAATCAGTACACAGAGGAACATATGGAGCACTTAGATCACAGATGGGACGAAGCAACGGCTTGATATTTTAGTGACCAATTAAATTGCGGTTCAGACATCGTCGTGCGGTACTTAAAATTCACACACCCCGGAGAATTTCTTCTTTTTGGTAATCACAATTTTGACAAATTTTGAACCTGGACATGAACAGCTATCTAGTTCGTAAGCTGTTAGCTAGAAATGAGAGACAAAACAACGGTAAGGTTTGCTTCCTCTTTTGTCTAACTATACAACCACAGTAGGAATTACATAGTTTCATGAATTGCACAAAAACATTTCCTTTTTCTACTTCAGAGACCATAAAAACAGAAATTAATACGGTATAAAGAAGTCTTATTGAGCATCACTGTGTCTGGGACTTTGCATACTTTTAGAGTTGTACACTGTGATGACCTGGCCTCCCTGTCACCCCAGGTCGGGTAGGAACTCCCCACTTCATGGCCCCAGAGGTGGTGAAGAGAGAGCCGTACGGTAAACCTGTGGACGTGTGGGGCTGTGGAGTCATCCTCTTCATCCTCCTCTCAGGCTGTCTGCCTTTCTACGGCACCAAGGAGCGCCTGTTTGAAGCCATCTGCAGGGGCAAATACAAGGTGAGGGCAGAGGGTCATAGATATGACAATCCTGTTATTGTTGTACGTCGCTTCAATGGGTAAAATAACATGACACTCTCAGAGTAAATGGCTGAGATCTAGGAACACCCCAACATTGCTAATTTCAGATGGAACAAAGAAACATGGTAAGTTTTAAACAAATTCCCACATTTGTCCAACTTGTTTGGAAGAGAAAACAAGGTAAACATTGTAATTATTTTACCCAAAACCACCCGTTGTGAACATCAACTTCCTGGTTTTGAGTACCGTTCTTGCTATAGCTCTAAGTACAGTTTCCCTGTACAATGAAGGATTATAAGTAACGTTTGTCAAAGCATTTAAACTGTAACTACGAGCAATCGTCCACACGGGGAATTCCTGCCACCGCCGAACATCTCCCGCTTGATGAAAAGAACTACAGATGTGTCAAAAAGCTGATGGCGACATGGAGTTACAGTGGACTCTCTTTTGTTTTTTGCTCACACAATAAATAGATAAATAAAGAGGAAGAGATCATTTAGTGAAGTTTCACCCCATTGCTGTGGTCCTAGATATCAGCTTCTCCATTATTACTGAGAGGAAAGATGGCCGAGACTACAGAAATATCCCCTGACTGGAACTATCCTTAAAGTTTAGGACATGGATGCTTGGTGGTCTCCTGACATGTCTGTTTGTACCCGTTGTGTGTAGATGAATCCACGGCAATGGGCCCAAATCTCAGAGAGCGCTAAGGACCTGGTGAGGCGCATGCTGATGCTGGACCCTGCTGAGAGGATCACCGTCTACGAGGCTCTGAACCACCCCTGGCTGAAGGTAACGCAGAGCACGCAGTGACGCCTTATAGCCATGTTCATGTTGTTTATTTGTCAGCAGGGAAACTGAAAAAGTACTTCCTGCTTTGGTGCGTGGGTAGTCTCTAAGACGTGCGTTCAAAGTTTTGACTTTTGTGAAAGTTTTCTGAGACGGAGCAGCGTTGTGAAACCCCGTCGCCTAAAGCCATCACGTAATGATCAATTGCTCGGGTGCCACAGCTCCTCGAACAGGAAAACAATGACAGTGAGCCCCGGCACAGTGGTGTTACTGCTTGTCATGTGTTGTCAGCGGCAGCTTTTATTGTCTCGTCTTCCGTGGACAGTGATGGAGGGGTACTTACAGATGACAATTCAACTGAGAGACTCGCAATTCGTCTGGGAGCCGCCTGACACGAATCTTCACATTTTAAAGGGGCGTCCCTGCTTACGATGCAACATTTTAGTCAGTTACCCAATAGTAGAAAGCTAAAGTTTAGACAAATCCACTTCCTGTTTGCAATGTCCAGCTGAAGCGGCATCTATTGTTGACTTCTTGCCCCTTAACTCCACTTTGACACTCAGCATACACACTTACACCACAATACCATAAACCATGGCACTCATTGGTCAGAAAGCTACAGACCAAAAAGAAGAAATAGGGTTCATGTATCCTCCTCTTAAATATTGTTGCTCAACATCATCATTTTGATCTGTTCACATCAACCGCAGTGCTTTGTTAATACCCATAAATGTCACTTCTATATTTGTGGCAGTGCTTATTGCCTTGTGATGCAGCTTACACATTTCTCTCATATCCAAGGAGAGGGACAGATATGCCTACAAGATCCACCTGCCAGAGACGGTGGAACAGCTGAGGAAATTCAACTCCAGGAGGAAGCTGAAGGTTTGCATCAACATACTGACATGCAGGCATTGTCACGTGTTGCAACTTGTTTTCATGAGCCCATCACCCTGTGTCAGATGATGAGATAAATCCTCACAGCTACACATGTGGTTGTGTTTCAGGGGGCTGTTCTGGCTGCAGTGTCCAGTCACAAGTTTAATTCCTTCTATGGAGACCCCCCCGAGGAACTCCATGAATTCTCCGAAGACCCCACCTCCTCAGGTACACAGAGACAATCACTGACAGTGAACATACAATTTGTTATCCTTTCATCTTTGACACACTTCCTCCCTCAAAGTTCCTTCCTCTTGTTTATCCTCTGGTTGAAGTTCTGCTTTTCTCTGTCCGGCCCTGCAGAGAGAGAGAGTTCTTACTTCTACAAGCTGACTTTATTCTAGCTGTATTCAAATGCACCACATCCAACTTACAGTGCAAACCTCACACACAGGGATCGGATGACTGTTTGAGCAGGAAATGCTGCCTCATGTTCTTCTCTCCCGTGACATTTCATCTCATTACTGGAAGAGTATCGGCACACAAAAGCCACATTTTGGTGCGAATTTGGTTACCGTGCAAGGGTAGCTGGATTCTCGCATTTATCGTAGGATCACATATCGGATGAAAATCCATCTCGTCAGGCTTCAAGTAAAATATTTGTGTCCGATAAGCACGAGCACGGACCAATCGGAGGTGGGATTACAGGTTTGCCGTTAAACCCTGCCTCTCTATGCAGGGTGCAGCCAGCTTTACATGGTGTGAGGAGCTGCTGGCAGCTACTGTCGTGGTTTAGGTTGTGTGCGGGGCGACACAGAGAGGCGACTGTTTGCATAAAAACAACAATGGGCGGCTCCCGAAGAGGTTAGCGTAGATGCTGCTATAGCGTAGATTGTATATCACAACTGGAGGGTATATATAAAGTTAGTGACACTTCTGCATTACTCCGTATGAACGCTGAACACACAGCGTACGGCTTAGCGTTTCCAGATAGACATTTGTCCTTTTGAAATTTGGTTCCTTTATTTATCACACCGAGTATTCTGCGTGAAGCTGCGTGCACCGGACCGAGACTCGCGTACCGTGAATGTTCGGTACAAATGAACTAACCCACAAAGCCCACATCATTAAGCGAGCCTATAGACTCTGTATAAGCAAAGTATTAATACTTCTGAATGCATTTATCCTTCTCATTGTGTTACTGACATTAACAACACTTGCAGACACATTTCTGTTTCCCAACAATATTTTCTTCCAACTGTTTCTAACATTGATATTAACATCTGTGTTTATTTGTGTGTCTGTTTCTATTAATGCTTCCTACCTGCTAGGACTACTAGCAGCAGAACGTAGGTATCCGCTGGTGCTCTGTGTGCTCTACTATTAAATCTTCGTGAGGTCGTCTTTCTGTTTTCAGCATCTTATCTTTACTGCTTTTAGGAAACAAAGCGTTTCAGTGCATGTGCCTGCTCACCGTAAATGCATTCAGAGAGCCTTGAGGTGGGTGACTGAACCATTGCTCTAATGTGTGTGTGTGTGTGTGTGTGTGTGTGTGTGTGTGTGTGTGTGTGTTGCAGGGGCTGTCTCTCAGGTGTTGGACAGTTTAGAGGAGATCCACGCTTTGACAGACTGCAGTGAAAAGGATCTAGATTTCCTTCACAGTGTTTTCCAGGACCAGCATCTACACACACTGCTCGATGTAAGTGTCACACTGAAGCACACTGGAATGAATCCACCTTTATGAGCCAATCATTGTGATGGCTTTATTGGTAACTAATGGAACAGAATAATGATTTGTTAGTCAGGCGGTTCATAAAAGCTTCAAAAGGCCTCCGTCGAGTTTAATTCTCTGGCAACAGGAAGCGGTGTGTTTCATGTTTCCCGGAGCAGCAACTGCAGTATCCTTGGAATTGAATAAGAAATGAAGCAAGACGGCAAAAATAAGGGAAACAGTGTTGGTTACAATTTATTTCTTGGCCTCAAGATAACCTTAACTTGACTCTTTGGTATTGTCGTGCACGGTGCGGCGCTGAGAGGAGGGTCATGATGAGATGTGGGTTTTGTGCAGCTGGGGAAGTGAGGCGGTAATGTTTTGTGGTTGAAACTGATCATTAATGCTCAGAATAGACATTCAGGTCTGTTCTAGGTACAACAACAAAGTTCGTGCTTGACAGTGTTTATAGATTCATTGTGGTTCTATGTGCATCCAACTTTAGGCTGCTGCAAAATATGAACACAAGCGCCTCCTGCACACATTGAAGTGCTTTGTCATGAACTCTCTATTTTACTGGTTTATGTTCGACTTCCTGGGAACGTCTTGGATTGTCAAGTACATAAATATTTTACTCACAGTGTTTTATTCTTATTTACATGCGTTGCACTAATAGTATTATTACAGAAGCAACAAATGCACGTAACAGTTGTTGTATGCAAAGCATTGTGCAGTATGTCAATCATCCAATCAAACAGTGTGTACAGTTATGCACAGAAAACAGGGAATAAACAGGCTTTCAATACAGAAATTGCTTCAGAAATGCATAACTTGAGATTTGTAAGTCGTTACTGCGTGTTTACACCCCCCCCCCGTATTGTGCTGCTTAACAGGTTTGAGACCAGTATGCACCGTCTCCCTCCTTTTATATTCCACTTGAGCCAAATCCTTCTGTGCTCATAGTCCTCTGGGGTCCACTGGCCATGGTGTTGTCTCCTGGGGAGCACTTGAACATTGGATGGATAAAAAAAGATAGAGAGATATTTTTTCAACAGCAATACATTTCATTCACTGTGCACACTCCAGAGCTGAGCTACTCGTCTTTCTCTCCTCGCTTCTCCAGCTTTGTCCTTGCATACGAGACAGGAAACAGTCACAATACGTCCACAAAATGTGATCAATTATCCGCCTCTCTTTGAGCGGTCTGTCCTCCAGGTAAATCTGTGAAGCTGAAGTGTTTATACTGACAGACACGTTGCACACTTTTATATTAAATGTGATATCAAACGACAAGTTTTGAGCTCCAATTTTGCAGCCTTGTTGTAAAATGGAATGATCGCTCTAAAACAAAAGACCGGGGAAGATTTTAAACGTACATAAACATACGCAGGCCGTCTTTAAATCGCGCTCAGACCGACTGCGGGATTGTTTACGCCGGCGCCTTCTGTGCTGTTTTAACACGGGAATATTTTCAGTCTCAATCTTCACCTAAGGATGAATATTAAACGCATTGGGAGCTTGGGGAAAGTGTCTCGCGGCCTGGATACGACCAGCGTTTATGACTTAGCATTATGCACTGGCCTTTACGATTGCATGTTTAATATGAGGCATAAATAGCTTCCTTCCACCTGCACACACAAGAACTCTCATTGCTCTGGAGGCAATCTAAAAAGGTCATGTTGTTTTTAAACGTGCCATTAAATTCCTCCCGTATTTCATCTGCGCACATGCGTGTGTGAGCGTGTGTGTAAGCGGTGAACTTGACTGATGGCCGGTCGCTGAGACTGTGAGATGTTGAGCTGCCGGTCACAGCAGCGGCATGTTGACCTGCAGCTCAACAGCTGCTTGACCACATAACCACCATATTGGGTCACAAAATAACAGCTCCCAGCAGCAGCCGGCGGTGGAGCGAGACATCATTTTAGATTAGTACACAGTTTGTGTGACACTCTGAGAGCCTCATTTTCTCTGTTATTATCCCTCTAATCCATTTAGTTTACTCTGTTCTCTCTCTCTCTGCGTCTCTTGGTGTTGAACAGAAGATGTGCTGGCAGGACGGGAGAATTTGCAAGAATGTCGTCCAACAATTGAGTGATTTAAATGAGAAATACTAATCGGAGAATAAGATGATAATAACAATGCTGGAAAACAGCAAGTAATGTATCAATGTTCAAGCTTTGATGCAAATACTTTGACTCAGGACACGGTTACTGGATATGTTTCTCTTTCTCTGAGGCTTTTGCCATATTATACATATTATGTTGCTCATAACAAGGACCGCTTGTCTGACAGCTTTTTCTTGCTTGTTGGAATACATCAGGCCCGTGGAGCTGGTAGAGATTCAGAGTCCTTTGCACAGATATAAAGTCCAAAACATTCACATCTGTATGAGCAGCTCTGGAGCAGTTGACTGAAAGGGTTCGTGGCTGTTGAAGGAGAGGAGACGATTAGTCACTTTTCCTCACCGGCCCGTTCAGAGCTGCCTCTGTGATTCAGACTCTTGCAGACATACGCTCATGTCTCTGTCGATGAGCTGCTGCAGATGTTTGATGGGGGCTCTTAAATAGATGTTCTTCCTCTTTAACAGGCTTCAAGAACCACACTAGTTTAAGAGACTGAAATTAAAACATCACTGGGACTTGCACGGAGGCAATTGAGGAAAAGAGATTGCTGAAGAGAGAGAGGTGTCTGTGTGTGTGTGTGTGTGTGTGTGTGTGTGTGTCTGTGTGTCTGTGTGTATGGGTCGTTTTAAAGGCTCTCCCAGTTGCTGGAGGCTGAATAGGTTGAAAGTGGGTTGCAGGAGACTGGTGGATCTGCCAAATGTGTGTGTGTGTGTGTGTGTGTGTGTGTGTGTGCGTGCAGCAGTGTCGGTGGGAGCCTGGGGCTGCAGATGTCTCCTTTTCAGCCTCCGTTTCACACCCCTGCCCCAATGTGAGAGGGGGGGGGGGGGAGTCAGAGAGGGACAGAAGAGTGCAGTGAAGGAACAATGGTTTCTATTGTCGGGCCTCTTTCGTTCTATTCACAACAAGCACAGCCTCCATCACTATCAGTGCGGCTGAAAGTAGCCTCCACACCGCTGACACGACCAGGAATCCTGGAGACAGCGAGCAGATGGAGGCTCCTGGTCTAGAGAACTAGTTTGCAGTGTGTTGTCTGCGTCTTTCTGACGAACCACTTCACCGTCTCCTGGGTGAGTGTTTCTTCTTCCTGCTTCTCTCTCTGATGTGTTTTGCAGGAAGTGTGTTTTGTGAAGAGATGCCTCAAGCTAATTGAAAGTCAGCAGCCTGGTATCCCCATGTGTGTGTTTTGCGTTTGACATGTTGTAATGAGGAGCTTCAGTCGAGTGCATTTGTTTAGCTTTTTTCCTCGTGTGCCGGTTTGCGAAGCTCTTCAGGCTTCTAATGAAGACGGGGTAATACGTTTCCCTTAAGGAGATGTCTGAATTTACTCGTCACTAATAGGAACTTAATATTGTTTTTAAAATATGAGCTGCTTGTCGGCACATAAAGAGGCAGCCACAAAGGTGTGACTCGGTCATGCTTGTGCCTGTGAGATTTCTAAACGTTGTAATCTGCATGCTTGGATTATCGTTGCCTGGTTCTCAGCATGTGATGCACGTTTCCAACCTGTAAATATCTGAATATTCTGTGAGTGCAGTAAACACGTATGCTCGGTGGCTGCAGACGGCATGTGGGACGGCACGCTCCGAGTACGATTCAGCCCTCGGGCTGTCTGGTTTATTATGGTGGTCTTATAAGGATTTCCTGAGGAGTGTGTTGTGTTTGTCCTTCTGAGACACTTTGCTCATGAAGCGGGGATGCAGATGCACACTTGACGCATGTGTTGTCATTCCCAGAAGGACCCTTCTGAGACGCAACGTCCTCCCTCTAACAGAAATACACACACACATTTTCATTTACATACAAACCCACCATCCCTTTTATTTTCCTGCCCTCCGTCTGTCTCCTGGACCTCGTGAGTGTGTCTGGATGGGCTGTTAGAGAATCACACAAATGGATCACTTTACAGAAATACACCAGATGTGTTTTACTGCCATGGCATCAGCTGTAATGAAAACCACTCCGGCTTCCCGTTAAAACTCCTCTTCAAAATAACATTAACAACCCAGATTTAGGTCTTTGACACTTGCGTATGTTTTATTAGAAAATCTTTTTCATGTCCAAAAACAATTTCACAGAACAGCAACATCATTGCCAGGCACCATGACGTCCACATCACACACTTTATACATCATGGACAGCAAGTATTTGCACATTAATTACCCATGATCGTCAAAGCATCGAGCAGAAAGAAGGTCGATTAGATTTGAATGAGTGAGGGAGCCACGCTCTTTAATCCAACACATATTTTATCCCTTTAGTCCGTCATTTGTCAGTCTGAGTAGCATATTTCCATCTCATTCATTTCTTTGATGATTTCAAGCACCAGATTTTGTGCATTTCAAAACACACATACTGTAAAGTCAAAATGAAACTGTCATAAAAGGCTCCCTTACTTGGCTATTCCCAAATCTTTCTGCTGTTTCACATGAACTTCTTCAGTGAGTGGAACTGCATCAGGACTTAATAACCAGTGGGCATATTTGGAAGGGAGATTGGAATTGTTCTTTTTTTTTTTTTTAGGATTTACAAGCGGTAATCTTAACGTGTAAAAATCAGTTATCTTCCCCCATGATGTCACAAACATTAAGGTCCTAAATAGGCTTCAAAGTAAGGGCTTGTCATGTCGTCTAACAGCATCTACATACAGACAATCCAACATCACGTGACGCAGTGATCAGCCAGATGTGCAAAGGCGAGAAAATAGGCAACAGCTGAACTCTCAAATCCCTTTTTGTTTCATTCTACACACCGACTTCCTTTGTACAACCGAGTGCAACACCACGAATGTCTTCCGGGAGAGGCTTTTCCAAAGCGTGCACTGTTGTTTTGTGCGATCGCCCTCTACAGTGGCAAGCCTCTGTGCCTCGCCTTTGAGCGCGGCCGTCTGAACAGCTATAACCAGGATTCAGCTGCGGTCTAATTACTGTCACAGCGCGCTTTCTTTTGCAGCAAAACTGAACCACTGAGGCGTTGAATCCTTACTGTTAAATCCAATGCACAGAATGCATGCTTCATGTTGTTTGTTTGTCCATCACAGGCTCTGTGATGACCGTCACATGTCCAGTGGTGCAGCTGCTGTTGTGAGAAAGGGAAAACAGAAGAGAGTTGCGCTGAACTGTCTGGTACAAAAGCGCCGTTTGTGTGCGACCTTCTGTGTCTGCCTCTGAGTGCTTTCCTCTGTTTGTGTTCTGCACAGCAGGTTAAATGGATAGCACACCAGACGACCGGCTCATCAAGCATCACATGGATGTGTCTGTGAATATGGGGATGGTTGTTTTAGATGACACCCTCTCTGCTTTGATCGGAGCGTACGGCTGCTGGTTGTGTTTCAGGACCATTTTGTCGACAAACACGAAATCTCTTAAGTACACCCACGCTGCTCGTCTCTGACTGGGCCTCTACACTCCGGTCTAGTCAGCGCTGTTTATTAGTCAGCTGGGAGCTTTACAAACAGAGCTCTTGTGTCTGTCGTCCTTCACTCCGAGAGATGAGAAAACAGTTCCTTCTTGTTAACAGTTAGACGTCAAGAAGGAAAAGAACAAAACGGAGAACAGTGATGTTGACTCTCTGAAGTATACGGAGAGGGAGCTGAGGATAAATGGGATGAATAAGGATAAATGCTTTTGTTTTGAACCAATTTCACTTGAAAAATACCAAAGTTTTGACCCCATTGTGTCTCCACACACCCAGAGAAAGCTGTGGTTCCTGCCACATAATGCAGTTCACAGTAAACAAGTCCCTTCTAGTTCTTTTGAGCAAAATGAAAGAAGATGCAACTGAGCTGCTGATTATGAGATCCTCTGAGTGAGAACGCAAACTGTTGAACAATAGAAGGTTTGCACTGCAACAGCTTTTTTATAATCATGTTTTAACACCATATTTCCACATTTTTCGCACTAGTTTTTTTAGTGTTAAAAGAAATACAAGTAACTTTGTAGATTTAGTTTTTCGGGGGGAGAGGCCCAAAAAAATGGTTATCTTTAAAATGTACCTTTCTGCAAATGATAGCCCTCTGACAGCTTTGCTGGGTGATTCACTTTGAGCAGCTTGGTTGACGGGCCTCACGCAGCTAAAAAGCCGTCGTCTTTCAGATATTTATACGGCAGCTTGTTAACCTGAAATATAATCTTTAGTTTATTTAATTAAGTGAAAAAAGGTGTTGTTAGAATAACATCTTTATTTGTCAAAGGAAAGTACTGACAACAGTATTTCTCTGTTTATATCGTAGTATTGTATCGTACTAGTGTAGAACCTCCTACATTTTACACAAGCTTTACAGAATTTTTCAACATCGATGAGAAAACAACGAGCAGCCTTGATCAACTCGATCTCATCCGACAGACTTGTTGATTGCTCGGCTGTTCACGAGACGCCATTGATCACGTTGACCTCGCTGTGTGGCCCCGCCCTCAGCTCGATCGTCCGTCCGACTGATTGATTGACTTACTTTTATCTTTTGTTTCAGCTCTACGATAAGATCAACACCAAGTCGTCCCCACAGATCAGAAACCCCCCCAGTGATGCCGTGCAGAGAGCCAAAGAGGTGAACAAACATCAACACGAGCGTATCGTCACTTCCTGTTTTTCCTCCTCTTCTTCTTCTTTATGAGACGTGTGTGATAATGAATCTAATACGCTGTGAAGATGACAGACTCGCTACTCGCCGGCTTTCCTCTTTAAGCTCACACTTGTGCATTAATTCCTCCGGCCTCTCGCTCACTAAAGCTCTAACTCATCACCGCTGTGGATCCTTCTGCTCACCTGCTCTGTGCGGGGTCTTTGGGGCGCGTGTCCCGGGTGGGAAGTACTTCAACTATAAAGTCAGTCTTTAGAGGGGATCTTTATTTAAATATGTATGAAAATGATTGGAACAATCTTCATCAGAAGCGGGGCTGTGGAAGCTAATGTTTGAATTTGAGAGTCTGATGAAATGGTGATATATTATAACTGGAGTGCTCCCGTAGAGCGTACGACTCTGTAGGACAGCGGTTAATGTTGGATCAATGTAATGCTGAGCTGTAACAGGAAAAAAAGCCTCATTTATGTGAAGCAACGGTACAAAAGGGTAATTTATGCCATGTGAGCAAGTTTTACGATGCTGGGGTCCACGAAAGCAGTTTCATCATTTTACAGTTTTAAAGTCGATGGGAGTCGCTGGTGAAAATCAGTTTAGCTTCTGAAATATTGATCTTACAGGCAAAGCTGGAGAGTGTTACGATTTTTTGCTTTTTGACTTGCAGAGGTTCCACAGTCCCAACATGGATACCGACAGTGGAGGTTTTGATTTACATTTCTGCGTGAGGTTTCACTCATTGAGCAGTTGATTCCCTTTGTGAAATAGAGGGATAATCTCATGTTCTCATTACTGAACAGTAGATTCATGTTCTTTCATTCACTGGGACAGGGACTTGGGGTCGCAGCATGCAGAAGTGGTGTCTTTGACAGATGTGTGCTCCTGAGAAGGAGACGATTGCTTCCTGATTATTGACTTGCTTCATGTTGTCTTCACTAATAACAATCTGCACTAGCTGAAGAAACCTGGAGGGGGAAACACAAGCAGCCCAAACTGACCAATCACGGTTCTTGCTGTCTCTAAGTAGCTTTTTCGTAGCCTCCATGGTTCCATGCCATTGTTCCGACGGCCCATTATTATGAAACCCCTTTAGGTTCCAAACAACCGTTGTTCTGAAGGTCTAGTTTGACCCAAACCGTTATCTGTTCCTAAAACTGACCAAGTAGACAGAAAGCACTGACGGTAAACTTCTCCCATGTGTGGAAAAAAAAAGAAGAAAATCGTGAATCTGGACTTATTCTGCATAATTATTCATTGCTGCGTGCTTCTGTTTGTTGCATAGCGTGTGTGTATTTTCGGAGCAATGGTTGACTGCAACATAGGGAGCGGTACCTCTTCACGGAGTCCTCCGTGTTGCACCACCATGTTTCTACAGTAGCCCAGAATGGACAAACCAAACACTGAGAGAGAGAGGCTTTTGCGTTTTACCCGACGGCCATCGTAGTCCTCCGACATGCTTGGGAAAAGGAGGGCTGAGTGGAGGCGTGTTCAGTTCTGCATTGCATCCTCATGAAAAGGAAATACTCAAATACAACGCAAGTACCTCAGATGTCCTTCGCCTTTTGATTGGACTGCTAAAAAGTAGGCGGGCTTAAAATGAAGCGTGATACGGAGCTGCGAAGGAATGTGGCTCCACACGCACAGGTTGATGGATGGATGTCATGATATTATTGATTAAAAATGGTTTGGTACTAGCTTATGTAAGCACACGTCATATTTAGTTTCACAGGAAAAAAAGATGATTGGATCTTTATAGATTTTTTGGGTATTTTCTCCTGCATGTGTCGTTAAGTAGGTGCACAATATGACCCGGGCAGGAAAAGGATTAAAAAGGCATTTTTCATTTGATGTCATTGAAGTGAAACTCGACACGAACATGACACGAGTACACGGACAAACGGTCCGGAGCTTCCCGCAGTTCTGTTTACAGCCGCACTGAAATTATATTGACTCAAAAACAGAGAGCGAGATTAAATTATTCAATTATTTATGTTGAGTTATTGAGTCCTCTATAAGCTTCCTCTCAATCTCCGGTGACCTCTTGAGATTTATTTGCTCGTGAGCCGACTCCCTGTGACTCGGGCTCATTGTCAGAGCAGCTATACCACACAGCCCACTGGCCCTTTACACAGAGCCGCTTTAAGAACAATCTCTGGCTTCTGCGTTTCACCTTCCTCATTAGAGATGCTGCTTGATGTAACACACACACACACACACACACACATCAAGTGTGGTTTTGCTTTCTTCACAGGGAGTTGCATTATGGTCCCCGGGGTCTGACCCCGGCTCTGATGCATTCACATCCACGCCGTTGGTTTGGGTTGATGTGTTAACCTCTCAGTGTACTCTAACACTGGAGCAGGATGCAGACTGGAACTGGCGCTTTAACAAGGAGTGTGAAAGAAGTGTGTGAGGGAGAAAGCTGTGTGTGTGTGTGTGTGTGTGTGTGTGTGTGCGCAGATAGACCAAATGCTGCCGTGTTTACGTTGTGTGCTTTGTTGAGGGGAGCAATTAAAAAAGTCTGAACAGCGAGGGAGTGGGCGAGGGCTGGCGTCTCAAATCCCAGCGCTGTTAAGACGGAGAAAGCCATTTAGGGGAGTGGAGCTCCCTTTTATGTGGCTTTGGTTCATGTCAAAGAGACCTGGCTAATTAACCCAGCTCTGGTGCTCTGTGTCCGAAACGTCCACGACTGCTTAGAGAGTCTGGTTCACATTTTCCTACTTAAATTAGTCTAGATGGATCAAGAGCAGTAGATGGAGCCACAGCAGATTCAACACCGTCTTTGTCGGTGTGAGGGAGTGACAGACTTCTTTTATTAGGTTTTATTAGGTTGTCTCTACAAAGAGTCTTACAGACACTTCAGCATTGCAAGCACACTAAACTCTCCTCATAAACCAAACTCACTGTATTTTTCAAGACGGCTGGAGTGATGCAAGTTTTCAACCGCTGGAATAAAATGTTTTTTTTCAGCTTTTTATACGTAGGAAAGTAATAATATCTGCTCCAGGGTTTAGGAGAGCTCAGGTTTGTCTTCACCTCTCTCCTACTTCCTTCTGTAGTTCTTCCACTTTATGCTTTACTGGCCAAAGGAAACACAACAGCCAAGGTTTTTCTCTCAACAGTATACAGTAAGGTGTTTTATATGAACATTAATGCAGGTTTTTCTTTCTGTAATCATTCTTCTTGTTAATACCGGAGGAAGCCGACCGTCTTCCTTCAGTGCAGACAGTGTATTCCAACGCTTATCTGAAGTTAATGTAAGAATTCAGCCCCCACAGTTAATAATCAGGCGCTTATCTCTTATCAGTCTTTTTAGTACAAAATTCACCCGTTTTTTTCTTACTATCCTTCCACTGCAGCTCAACATGGAGACAAGAAGAGGGAATGTTGTACTGAAAAGACTGTAACTCAGACTGCTTAAGTCTGATGTGAACTTCGGGTAAATGTTTGAATACATTTTGGCACAAATCATGGATCCCTTGCATTACAAGTGAATCATAAAGGGATCTCTTAAAGGCCGGTATGAACAGACAACCCATAATGTGAAGGACTGTAGGAACCTTCTTATTTGTGTCATTGCAGCTCACGTAATACTACTTCTCTAAGTATAGAGAATGGGGATAGATGACGGATGAGCTCCATAGTTTAATGACCAAACAATCCAGGCACATCTGACTCACTTGGATCATGACAATGGAACAATGTATGTGCCAAAGCACCACCTGCAGTAACTTCTGATTGTTGCCAAAGCATGTTTGCATTTAATCTCGAGTCCTTTCGCTCGGGAGAGTGTCGGAAGTTTTTTTTAAATACCTCTCAGGTGTGACAGAGAAGTGTTAATCGCTTGGCTTTTCCTGTGTTTGACAATCTTTTATTGTAAATCCATGCAGGTGGAATCCCGACTTTCTTATTTTGAGTCCAAGTTAAACTTTTAGCAGAAGGAATTCTGCTGATGCTCGAGAGCTACTTGCTTCAATACAGTTTCACCTCAAATTAACTCCTCATTTAATCTCGGTTGTGCCCTTCAGGGACGACTCCCTCCTCCTCCTCCTCCTCCTCCTCCTCCTCTGCTTTACTTCTGTCTCTACTGATGCTCTCTGGATGACACTGAAATGCTTTGAACCGATCACACTGCAGCTTCCAGCGGACTCTTGCGGGTTTGTGGCCCGGCGGAGCAGCGATAAGGTGCCCTAAACTCCAACAAAGCTTTCTTCTGACTGCACTAACGCTCCTCTTCGCCTCTTCGCGAGAGCTAATCTTTCTTGGGAGTGAAGTTAACCGCTTTGGCTGTAGATACTAATCTCACAAATTCCTAGCCCATTCAAACTGGCTGGCTTTGATTAACGGCGGCGGTGGAGTCTCTCTTTCCCCTGACCTCTGTCATCACGTGTGAGCTCTCCAAACAAGGACGATCTCCAGCTTGTGTAACCTTATTCCCGTGTCTTCCTCCACTAAAGAGTTCCTCCCAAGACGAAGCAAGTGGCGCTTTGAATCACCTGGAATATGTAAGCGCTCAACACACACACGCCGCGGCGCCATGTTCACGGTACTAACGAGCCAAGCAGAAGGCAGGAGTGGAGAGGACATGTGACTGAAGCCGTTTCCTGGTGTTACTCAAAGAATGTATTTAGAAGACCTAATGGTTGACTTTACACTCAAATAACCTCAAAACCGAATCAAAAACATTTTTTATCTTTAGTGTCTGCGTCCGTTTCTCCACATCCTGTTTAAAAGATATTTTTTAGATTGGACAGTTTCAGTACCATGAAGTGTGCAAATGTCCGGGAGAATAAAACACATGTTTGTCCTGTCGGCGTTATAGATTGTAGCGTATTGGTTTTAATCACAATGAGTAAATATGAGTATTATAGTTTAGAGATAATTAGTACTTTAATGTACACACACTCGTTAACTACACACCTCTCTGATTGACAGGCATGCTAAAGGAACAGAGTGTAAGTCGACAATGTAGGGTTCAGTAGTACTCGCACGCTCACACACACACACACACACACCCTCAGAGGCCTCACCTCTACAATGCCACATTCACCAGTCAGGCACAACATAACTGGAGCTGACGTCGAGTCACGTCAAAAGGGCAGGAGGAGGGGGGGCTGAGCCTTGACCAGCTTCTGTGGTGTCCAGAGTCACATTGGCTGTGGAGATGTTGGAGGCGGGGTCAGGGCCAGTTTGAGGGGGGGGGGGGGGGTGCTGTGAGGTTGTCTGGTCGCTCTCCATATGTCTGTCTGAGGTGCAGCAGGTACAGCAGGGTGCTGAGGTACGATTTGGAAGAAGAAGAAGTTCTGCGTCTTAAAAACAACCTGTTGTGATGCTTTGTTTTCCTCTCTCTACACCTCCAGGTACTGGAAGAGATCTCCTGCTACCCAGAGAACCACGAAGCTAAAGAACTCAGACGGATACTGACCCAGCCACATTTCATGGTGAGTCCAAAAAGAAAAAACACACACACACACACAGGACTCGTGTCCGTCATACCTCCCAGACGGGTTCAGGAGGCCTCTTAACAAACAGACGAAGCTCCACTGACTCCCCGTGTCTCTGGCCTCAGCAGCCGGCGCTTAGAAAGCGCCAAACAGAGACTGACACAGGTGTGAGTCAGAGGCTTCATTTTCTACATCTTGGTGTCAGACCGGTAAAGTGGTTGCAGCTTAACTCAAATTAATATTAATGCGACGAACAGACATTCAAGGGCACAGTTTCTGGTGTTCATCACTTGAATGTGCCTTTTTAAAAGACTTAAAACATAATTTAACGGTAGTTCTGCTGGAATAGATGCGTGTTGAAGCGGCCTGAGGATCTGAGCAGCAAGGGTTAATCCAGTCGAGGGAGAGTCACTGTAGGGCTCTCAGCATCCGCCCCTGCTAATCCCATCACATTAATGCGTCTGATTTCCGCCTCTGATCAGTGGTCTGCTCGATATCAGACGGACAGACCAACGGGGGGGGGGGGGGCATGGGGAGGGGAGACATGAAACAGGAGGAGACAAAGGAGAGAAAAGTGTATCAAAATGATAAGGAGAAAAAGATAATGAAGGTGAATGGAAGGAGGGGGGTCCATGGGCTGTGCGGTGAGGAAGGAGGGGAGGTGTGGACGGAGGTCAATAAGGCGTAGTCTGATGCAATGTGCTGTGTCGGGTCAGAGGCCCGGCTCCCTCACAGCGCTACGAGAGCGTAAACCGACGGAGCGAGAGAGGAAGAGAGCTCCACATTCCAACGAGTTCAAGTGAGAGCGAAGTGCAGACGAGCCTTGTGAGGAATTTCTGTTTTAGTGCTTTTTATTTCCCCCTCACTAGTTCAACATTTTGGGAAATACAATTATTAAAGTGAGATGAGAAGACCATTACCACTCTTATGTCTTTGCGTTATGTGCAGGGGTGAAGTTGAGAGGAGCTTAGCTCAGAATAAAGACAGGAAATGGGGAAACCGCCGGCCTCGCTGTGTCCAAACGTTTAAAATAAATCCACTAACCTTTATTAAAAGACACAGGTAACAACATCTGTCTCCCAGCACCTCTAAAGCTCACACATGAGCACCATACATCTCATTTTGTTTAACCGAGCTACTTATTACTTGATATTTCCGGCGCTGGTTGTCTGGAAAACTCGCTGTGACGAGATTCAGGGACGTCACCGAGCCCGAGAAAATAGTTCCAACACCAAACTCCCCCGAAAACCACAATCATTTTTCCATTTCTCTTTGTGTGTGCATTAAAAAACATCTAGGCCTACGTGGTAGCTTTTTCTGGTGCTGTTGTTTCTCCCTTTAAGACAGATTGTTTAAACCTCCTGCAGTAACTTATGTCACCGTATGACTTCAGTATGTTCTACTGTACAGTATTATGTTTTCTCTAACTTCTTACAAACAGCATCTGTTAGATTTTGATCTCGTCTTTCTCGTGAACGCCTCTGACGTCGACAGCCGTGTTGACATCAGAGTTTTTTCATTTCAGAGAATTCAACATGGGCGTCAGATGATCTTTAAAACCTCTCACACTCTCTCTCTCTCTTGTTTATCTTTTCTTGTGCTGCTTTGCTTTTTCTCACACTCACTCATGCACACACTTGCACAGCATGAGGGCGACGAGTTAACCCCTTAACCCTAGTCCTCATTAGGGCGAAGTCTCACACACACACACAACCTGAACTTCCTCTGTGTCTTGGAACGTGAAGTTTCCTCTGTGTGTGATGTAGTTTGACATGGAAGTTAGAGACACTGCCACTGCCTTCATGTCTCTGCCTCTCTGATCTGCTTTCCTTCCATGTGCGTGTGCGTGTGTGTGTGTGTGTGTGTGTGTGACGCAAGACGGTGACAGGTTTCCCCTTTTGTTGATGTTTGATTGCTGTCTTCTGAAGTTCAGACCGGTTTGTTAAAGTGCCACTCAGGGCCTTCTGTGGCTGTCAGAAGAGTAGAGTGGAGCACTGAGGAACCAGCCGGCTCTGCAGCTTCACAACTCCTGCTGCTTTAACTCAAACAGACAGAGGGGAGGGGGGGGCACAACAGAGGCACCTGAGGAAAAAGGGGGAATACCTGAAAGTGCGGCAGAGTATGAAGTCGGACGGAGTCGCGGTGTAAATCCCTCCGGCTCGTTGGCCGTCTGACTGGAGAATGAGGTCGAGCAGGAGAGGTGCTGGTGTTTTCCACCAGTGAGACAATATTTTTAGGGTTCAGGATTCACACACTTTGAGTCAAGTGCATGTATTTCGGTGCCCAGCGCAGAGCACACGGTGCCCAGGTGGGAGGTTGGTTCAAATGAGGCAGCACAAAGCGAGTCGTTGGTGTTTGTGTCTAAATATATCTTAAACATTGCGCTGAGAATAGACTTCTCAGAAACACAACTGTGTATGGTGCAAACCAACATCATGCTGCTGCCAACAAAGTATGTGGCACGAAAGCTCCCCAAAAGTGAAGCCAAGTCACCTCCATCGCCTCCTGGTGGCTGGCTGTTAGCGTAGGCGCTTCATTTGATATTCAGCAGAGTTCTCTATGAGCTGTGCTCACATTTTTAATGTCAATATTGCAGTCGATCATGTTCATTTAATTGTGGGAAGCCAAAATTGAGGTCGTGATTCATATTTGATTAATTGTGCAGCCATAAAATCCCTGCAGCCTTCTGAAGGCTTCTACAGAACAGACCTCTACATTATTATTTATCGTAAGTAAACGCATCAGACGGTCCGAGCCACTCTGACCGTGTTCACGTGTGTGTCCACAGGCTCTGCTGCAGGCCCACGACGTGGTGGCCCACGAGGTTTACAGCGACGAGGCTCTGAGGGTGACCCCTCCGCCCACCTCGCCCTACCTGAACGGAGAGTCCCCAGACAGCACCAACGGAGACATGGACCTGGAGAACGTCACCAGGGTCCGCCTGGTCCAGTTCCAGAAGAACACAGACGAGCCGATGGTACGCAGTTTAACATGTCCACTGCACTCGCGCTGGAGCTCTTTGTTGTCTCTGGATCACCCTCTGGATCCACGTGTCCGTGTGTTAATTTGTGCAGGGCATCACGCTGAAGATGAACGAGTCAAACCACTGCATCGTTGCCAGGATAATGCACGGGGGAATGATCCACAGACAAGGTGCGCTCTCACAACTGACCTTTATGCAAACGACATGTGACATTTTTAGAAACAGTTTGACTTTTTCATGTAAACTGATTCACTTCTAATGACAGACGGCACCATGTGGCTACTCTGGACGTGTCATTTACTTCGCAAGAATTTTTCAGATTTTCTTCTGCTAGTCTTCTAAATAAACAGTCTGAATTTTAAGAAATGAAACTCCTTCATCTTCACTTACACACAGCACGGTAAGTGTGCACATGCTCCCATCGGGCCAGACATTTCAACAGCTGCTTTGTCTCTGCTCTTGTGGTGGAACGCAGCACTTGCTCCACTGTTGTATTGTGACGGTAGCATGCTGCTAATTAATCCCCAGAGGATTCATCGTGTGGTAATTGGAAAGACACTCCTATCACAAAGGATTCTTCTCCCGACTACAGTTGCGATGGCGGAAAAAACAAAAAAGAGCAACAGAGGCTAATGAAATCTAGTGAGGCTGTTTAATGAGGAGAAAAGGTTTGATTCCGCTTCTGTCTTCCAGGAACGCTGCATGTAGGAGACGAGATCAGGGAGATCAACAGCATCAGTGTGGCCAACCAGACTGTTGAGCAGCTGCAGAGGATGCTGGTGTGTGTGTGTGTGTGTGTTTGTTTTCATAAGCTTATGACTAAGTGTGTTAGTTCATGCTTCAGTGTTCATCTCTTCTGTGTAAATCAGCAAAATGTCACACGCTCAACACAAGATGAGAATAAACCGTGTGTGTGTGTGTGTGTGTGTGTGTGTGTGTGTGTGTGTGTCCGTCCACAGAAGGAGATGCGAGGCAGCATCACCTTTAAAATAGTGCCAAGTTACCGGACGCAGGGCTCCTCCTGTGAGGTAACATCTCCTCTTCTTCCTCCTCTGCCCCTCTTTTCTGCTGATTGTGAGCTCCTGATCTGGTTACTAACTGCTCGCCTGGTTACTGAGCGTGTGTAACACAAGTATGTTGTGTGTAAGGGGTGTGCTGTGCTGTGAGTGTGAGAGTGTGTTTTGCTGTGTTTTGCATTTACAGCACACCAATTTCACAACCAAGATACCGGAAACCCCCCCACCCACCCCACCCCCAACCCCACCTCCTCTGGTCCAGGAATGAGTCACACCTCTCTGTACAATCCCGTCCTGTGTACACTTTACAGGGGTGGACAAAATAACGGGAACACCATACAATTAAACATCTATACAGTAAATACAACTCCGCTAAAGCTCAAAATGTTTGGCTTTTGTTAAGACTGTTGCATTAATTACAAACAGTACTTACTACTACGAGGAACTTTGCAACATCGCGAGCTTTAGGAAATGTATATTTACTGCACGGCGACTGTTTTGTACGGTATGACAGTTATTTTGTCCACCCCTTGTTCAAACAGCTGTTGACACACGCACCACTCTGCCGTAAACACATGGATAAACATGAACAACCAAAAGACTTGAAATACAATCCGGAGAAAAAACCAACAATTCAGATACAGAAAGGAGTTCTGCAGTCGAGGCAGCAGCGAATCAAAAGCTTCGCTGCACCTTCACCAGTGCATCTAAGAGGCATTTCAGGACGGAAGGGAATTTACTGATGTAATCTGGCAAAAGCTTGTATGTAATTAGTTAGATTATTTTAAAAATGGATTTAAAAAGATATTTAGAAACCAGTCTTTATTTATGCTAAAACTCAGTGGCCGCTCAGCCACAACACAGCTTTTATTTTTGGAAAGCCGTACATGCAAACCACAGCACTGTTTAGCTGAAGACGGAGAAAGGACGTCCAAGTAAAACTCCATAAAGAACAAACTTGACATTTTTTTCCACCATCAAAAGAAAGAATACACAAACGTAAATTGTCATTTTATTTCGTGATTTGTTTAGAAGCTCTCTTTACTCATAATCTATTCTCTGCTCATGATCTCAATTCTAGAGTGTGTATCTAATTTTACGCAGAAACTTCTTCTCCATTTTCACATTGAAACTAAATAGTCGTTTTTGACGAGATTACCTCTTAAATCATTCTATAAAAACATTAAACATTTATTTAATTCTAATTTCAGCTCTTTTGGTCCTCTGGCACACACCAGCTGCTCTGCGGGAACAGACATATTTAGTCTGTGTTAGAGATGACCTCATGGTCTCTCAGATGAGATTCTAATGTTGGTCTATCGCCCCCCTGTGGTGATGTAAGGGCCTGCAGGCTGGAGGGCAGCTGGCGATGCCGTCACCCGTGACTGGTTGACGCATTTCATTACGTCAACGCTTTGCTGGGTCTCTATTGTGCTCTACAAACTTACCCTCCCACCGCCTCCGGCCGCTGCCCAGAAGTGTGTGTGTGTGTGTGTGTGTGTGTGTGTGTGTGTGTGTGTGTGTGGCGCTGCTGACCTGTGTGTCTTATTTCAGAAAGAGTCCCCCAACACCTCCAGGCAGTCCCCTGCCAATGGCCACTCCAGCATTAACAGTTCTATCTTGGTAAGGACCCCCCCCCCCCACCCCCCCTTCCACAAACACCCCCCCGACAGACCCACAACCATTTCTCTCCCCCTTCCCGGTGCGTCTCATGTGTCACGTTGATGTGTCGTTGATGTCTGCGTCTCTCCGTCCGTTGATCCGTTTTATTTTGAGTTATTATTCTTTTAGGATTATCAGTAGGCGGGTCTTGCCGTAGATCTCCTGAGTCGATCCCGTGTCGTCCTCCCTGTTCATGCAGTTTGAGCCAAAAGGCCCCCGTGTCCGATATCTCAGTTAACAAATTGGTGTGCCTCATGACGTGTGCTGCGTGCTGTGCCTCATTGCTGACACGACTCACTCGGGCCTCCCGTGGTCACGGTGATGCAGGCGGACACGCTCCGGGCTCCCCGCCACGCATCACACCTAAACCCATTCAGGTCCTGCAGCTCCTTTGTGTCTCCGCCGAGGCTCCACACAAACACTGTGGTGGCGCCGATGCTGCGGCTGCTTGGCTTGCTCTGCGCTTGCTTGGCTGCTCAACAGCCAGATCTGCTTTAACAGATGAGAATTACTCTGATCTCTTTTTCACTTTGCTCTCTTTTTTGTTTTGCGAGAGCAGAAGCTAGATTGCAGATGGATGTGCATGCATGGTTTCTAAAAAAACGATAAATGAATGTTGTGGTTTCACAGTTGTATCTCGCTTAACCGAGTGTTTCTGTCATCAACGGTTTGCTTCCACAGGACCTGCCTTCCACCATTCAGCCCAAAGGTCGACAGGTGAATAACGGCCTCTCACTCTCTCACCTGTACTCACCAGCTCTGTATACAACGCTTGCATCCCTCCCCCTTTTATACAGAAGTGTGTGTGTGTCTCAATTTCTCCCAAACCCTCCTTTTTTCTAATTTGGATTCATGTGGCAGAGAGTCGTTTTGTTTAGAGTGGCCGCTGACTGATCCCCAAGCTGTTCAGACTGTCAGTCATGATGCAAATGGCCGAGGTTTGACCTCCCTTTAAAGCTTTTTTTAAACTATTAGTGAAGACATATTGGATTCTGGGCCCACTCCAAAATACATTAACTTTAAAATATATAATTTACACCAAAATAGTCTGCAGCTGTTCAGCCGTTAGCAGCTCAAAGAGAGGAGCAGACGGAATGCATCTGGATTCAAACGAAGCTTTGTTTTGAGGGTGTTTTGGGGGAAATTAGATTTCATTGATTTAGAGAGCATAATGCTTCCCTTCTAGTGACAGAGGAAGACAGACAGAGTGGTATTAATGCATCAGTCAGTCAGAAGGAAGCCAGAGATCCAGACCAGTTGTGTCTACTATACACACATCTTTGTTTGTTTGTTTGTTTGTTTCGGTGATATCAAGCTCATACACTGACTCAATATGAGTGACCGCTGTTGTGTCATCAGCCTGGCAGTGTAGCACTTCACTACCTTCACTTGTGTGTGTGTGTGTGTGTGTGTGTGTGTGTGTGTGTGTGTGTGTGTGTGTGTGTGTGGTAATAATGGCACAGGCATTGTTGTTGAACCCTGCAGAGCCTAGAGATCCCCCCCTAAGCACTGATCCCCAGTCAGATATGAATCCACGTCAAGCCAACTAAACAATCCTCCATACCTGTCATCTCATCCCATCACAGATGTGTGCACCTTCCTCACACAGACATGATCCATCTCCACCGAGATAATCCAACATTACTCGTCTAAAAGTCGTCTCTTTCATTGTGGCATCAGAGGATCTTGTGGTTGTAGCGACAGCAGATCCTGCCAGCAGAGGGCAGTAGAGTCCACCACAGACCGTCTGAATTTAACATTGATTTGAGTCTGAGTTGACAATATGAGGATAATAATTTAAAACAATGCTACAAGGCTAAGACTAGCTGTACGTCGTTGTCCCGTCTCACCACCATCAGCCTCCCCCTGCCTCTCTCCCCTCCACCACCTCCATACTGCTGTGAAGACATTGCATAGCCGTTTTGCTGCATGATGTGTGTGATGCTTTCAAATCCTAGATTGTTTCCAGACCTCCAATCAAGGACAAAATGTCTGTTAAGGTAAGAGACAGCCTCTCCTACCCCCCCCCCCCCCCCAAAAAAAAAAGAAACCATTTGTACACATTTGACCCAAACACAGCAGCTCACTTTCACACAGTGCAGACGGTAATACAGCAACAAGCAGCCGTGTGGTTAGAGAGGAAATAAAGCAGCATAATGACTGTTGTTTTGAACCAAAGGACACATAAACAATGCCTGTGCCGTAGTTACCCGTGTGCTGAGAGGCTTATTAATAGTCCAGCCGTGTCTGGGTTCATCTCACTGGAGAAAGGCCTTCCTTGGAAACCAGTTTCCAACCTGGCAACCAAAACACCCCCCACTGCTCATTATGTCACTTCTAGCTGCCATGATGTGCCAGAATACACCGTCCAGCCACTCTTCTATTCCTGTCAACTGTTTTGTCTTTCTTTCACCGTCTCTGTCCCCACGAAACACAAATTGCCCCCCCCCCCCCCCCCGTCCTTCAGGTAGCTCACTCCTCTAACATCTGCGCTGTTCGCCGCAGATCTACGTGAGGGCTCAGTTCGAATACGACCCCTCCAAAGACGAACTCATCCCCTGCAAGGAGGCCGGCATTCGCTTCCAGGTGGGCGACATCATCCAGATCATCTCCAAGGACGACCACAACTGGTGGCAGGGCAAGCTGGAGAACACCAAAAACGGCACGGCAGGCCTCATCCCGTCGCCAGAGCTGCAGGAGTGGTGAGAGGGACACACACACACACACACACACACACACACACAAAAAGATGAAGGTTCTTCCTCGACATCTACAACCCTTCAGCTGACACTGTGTGTGTGTGTGTGTGTGTGTGTGTGTGTGTGTGTGTGTGTGTGT